TTAATTGCATAATTAATAGAAACAATGCAGTTATCTTCTGCATACTTGTCGTGACAGTCAGCTTCCTATCAATCGTCTGATATTTATAAAACAAACGAATTCTATTAATACCCCCATGTGCCATATACGAGTACATAGCAGACATGATTAATTAACGAAGATAACACAATCGTGAAAATAACTGTGGTTTGCATTCAAACGCACAAGAATAAGTGAGGGCGCAGATGGTTGATAACGAACTTATTTCGGGCCATCCGTGGCGCATATCTGCAAAGTGTGCTTGAGAAAAGAGTACAGCAAAGAAAAAATAAATAATAATAACGTTTATTTTACTAAGTACAATTTGCTGGTAAGGCAAACAAAGGTATAAAATTAATAAACGTAAAAGAAAACGTAACACGTGACTTTCACATCTCGGTTGTTTTAGATAACATGCTTTATAAGCAAATGCACATTTTTAAACTGCCCTGTAAAGCTCGATGAAAACAAAATGGTTGTGCACCGGCAGATTTTTTATAATTTTGATATTAAGTTTTGCAAGATGTTGGCACATAGCAGCTTAGCTAAAAATTGTAACAAGCACACTAGAAGTATGGAGGGTAAAGAGGAGTAGCACTTCAAATAAAAAAAATATATTTCTTAAACTTTTTATCGTAGATGATGGGTACATGCATGGTAAACAATTATAAATTTTACATGATAGGTAGGGGTGGCATCTTAAGCTTACATTTCTTTGGAAAGTTTGTATTTTTAAGTTTTCATTTTCTTTAAGTCTAGTACTATAAGCATAACTGACTTTATTGAAGTTTCTTTTGTGTTTACATGTATTGAATGAGTTGAAAAAGGATAATTAATTTTTCTACCAGATATTACTTTTAACATTCTTTTTTGCAGTGCATCCAGAGTTACTCAACTGATGAATAATACAACATTTCAGGTGCAATAATAAATATATAAATGAAACATTTAAAATAAACTAAACATATACAGGGTGGTCCATAAGTCCTTTGAAATTTCAAATTTGAATAAAATTTAACGGGTGAGCGTGAGCGGCGCGGGCGAGGTGGGGGCAGTATCTTCAGTGTCTGGGAATTCAGTCGCCATGGAGTGTTTCACTGGAGCGGATCGTGCTTTTTGTGTGCGCGCGTTTTATCAAAATAATGATTCGGCAACCATTGCGCGGCGTAAATATCGAGAATACCACAATTTACACAATTTTACAAAGTGTCCAACAGGTCAAACGATTAAGAACTGGGTTGCTAAGTTCGAAGAGACTGGTTCGACGTTAGATAAACAGCGGTGGGGTCGACCAAGGACAACTCGTATTGAAGAAAACATCAACATTGTGGCACAGTCTGTTCGTCAAAATCCTACCCAGTCTACTCGTAAGCGTTCCAGTGCACTAAACGTATCCAGAACATCTTTACAGCGGATTTTAAGGAAAGATTTACGCATGCTTACAAAATTCAGTTAGTGCAGGAATTAAAAGATAATGACGCTATTCAGAGACTAAACTTTGCGAATGAAATGTTGAATCAATTTTCTTCGCTCAATAATGTGTTGTTCTCGGACGAGGCTCACTTCCATTTAAACGGGCATGTAAATAAACAAAATTGCCGTTATTGGAGCCCCGAAAATTCAAGGCGTAAGCATCAGAAGCCCTTACACAGCCCTACAGTTACAGTTTGGGCTGCTATGTCAGCGCATGGCATCGTAGGCCCTTATTTTTTTGAGGACGACAGAGGTCGCGCATTAACTGTTACTTCGGAGCGGTATGTAGCAATGATAGAAGAGTTTTTGACATCAGCGTTGCAGAATTTTCCAGGCTATAATACGCAGACCTGGTTTCAACAGGACGGAGCAACTGCCCACACCTCCAACACTTCTATGCCCGTCGTGTGTCAACTTTTTCCCAGCAAAGTAATTTCTCGAAGAGGAGACATTTCCTGGCCACCACGTAGTCCAGATTTGACCCCAATGGACTTCTTTTGTATGGGGCTACCTCAAGAGTAAAGTGTACGACACCACTCCGCGATCAGTTGATGTCCTGAAAGAAAATATCCGAAGAGAAATGGCAAGCATTACAGTGTTGACTTGCCTTGCCGCGCAGTCATCGACAATTTTAGACGTCGTTTATATGAGTGCCGTGATCTTAATGGATTGCATTTAGACGATGTGATTTTTAAAACATAATTCCCATTCAATAAAGATGATAACAAAATATAATAATTCTTCATAATGTAACTAGTCTGGTTTTATTCCTTTTTTTCCAGCTCAAAGGACTTATGGGCCACCCTGTATAATACATATTTTTTCTGATTGGAATTTTTTAAACGATAATGAAGCTCCTTCATCTCAGGATTTCAAATAGTTTGTTACACCATTTTTCCATCCTACTGCCAATCCGATACACGCTTTTATTTGAAAACTTGAGATGAAGGAGCTTCGTTATCGTTTAAATGTTTATGGTATCAAATAAGTTGTTTGGGATTTTGTATATAATTTTCATATATCTTATTAATAGGACTCCATAAAACTTTTTACTTTATTTGTGTTATAAAATCCTGATAGATATATGTAAATCATGTAACGCTAAATCTATATTTTGCGGCGATCGCCATATGGAATTTATAATGACATTATTTGCTTATTGTGTTTCTGTGATTAATGCCTTTAATTTGATTCCCATGACTTACCGGCGACCATGGAAATTATAAATCGCCATTTAGCGGCGGCAGCCATATTAGATTTAGAATTTAGCCCCTTCACTTGATACCGATCGCATAGGAATGAGTATGGAAACTATAAATCATCATTTTGCTGTGTCAGCCATATTGGATTTAAAATGACGTTACGTTGCTTGTTATGTTTCTCTCATAAAGTTCCTTTTATTTGATACCCATATCATAGGGGTGACTATGAAAAATGGAGATCGCTATTTTACTACCATGGAAGTTATGAATTGGCATTTTGTAGCATCCGCCAAATTCGATTTAAAATGGCGGCAGTTAATTGTTTTTGCATTGTCACTGAAACCAAACGTGTGTGCAAAATATCAGCTCAATTTGTTAACATTAACTGGTTAAAAATGCAGTTCCCCATTTGTCCTAAAGACTGCTTTGACAGACGACAGACATGATAAATATAACGACAGCAAAATGAAGTCCTCAACATTATGCTATTCTCTAGCACTACCATTTTGATTTTGTTTTCAGACATTTTTGCCTCTCACTCGTCTTTTTTATTATGGTTGAATTGTTCAAAATGCTCTATTTTTGCTTCGAGATTTTTTGGTTAAAAACAGCCAAATAACATTCGCATACGTAATGTGAATTTCAAATTACCAAAATATAAAACTTAATTTTCTTCGTGTTATTAATATTCATAGAACAATTATCTTTTGTGGGGTGCGTTCTAGTAAGATGCGTTCATAAAAAATATCCGTCTATTCCATAATATACATAATTATCTATGACTGCTTAATTTAGACGGGAGATTGGCCGTCATCTATCCTCAGTCTGAATTTAATAAAGATTTAAACGAGTTCCGTCCCCAATATTCTTAACCATAGGAGGAGGGATCCAAAAATTTTTAAGGGATCCTCCAGCTAGGGCGATGGTATTAATAAAGGAAAATATATGGTACCTACTTAGACGCCTAGTTTATTATTTGCTTTTGGAAATAGGATTGCATAAAAATAAAAAAACGATGCATTGATGAAAGTATGTAGAGTTATTAGTGTTATTACAATGCCTAATTGAACCGGTCATTTCAAAACCTCATACGTCACATAACTTGAATTTACCAGGAGAGAATAAACTGAAAAATATGGCTTGTTGACAAAATGGGTTTTTTCAAAGAAGATTGATGTCGCAACATGGATGTGTAATTACGTGACATATGCGCATCTATCTTTAACGAAGTATGCACACACTTCTCAACAGAGTTACGCACAGGAGAAGGTCTCCCCAATGGGGAGACTACAAGAGGGCGTTGCAGGAATACAAAAAGGAGATTAGAAGGGCCTCCAGAGAATCCTGTCAGTCCATAAATGACATTACTGCTACTGCCAGAATACACAGGGTCCTATGCAAAGACATTAAAGCAAGATTGGGATCTCTGTATGATCCTCGGCCCTCAGGGGAGGACTAGACATCCGGTATCGTTCATGTGGGTACCGGGGCACGCTGGGATAAGGCGCAACGAGGCGGCGGTCGCTCTGGCGAAGGCAGGAACAGCCAGCAAGCTCGTTGGTCCTGGGCCAGCTTTAGAAGTGACCGTGCATAGAGCCAGGAGGAAAATGGAGACGTGGGTTGCAAGACAACACTCTCAGAAATGGAGAAGTATCTCCAGACATCTCCGCCAGCCACGGGAACTCATTGAAGGACCCAGTGCTAAGGATGGACGTTTCTGCTTATCTCTGGATAGAGCCAACCTAAGGTTGCTGGTGGGACTGTTGTCAGGCTATAACACGTTAAGGCGTCACCTGCACGTGATGGGGGTGGCTGAGGATCCCTTGTGTGAGCGCTGCGGGGTAGAGGAAGAGACCTCGGCGCACGTTTTGTGTCGCTGTGAAGATCTGAGCTACTATAGGCAGACTATACTGGGATCCATTACTTTGGACCCTCAGGTCGTCAAGGAGCTTGAACTCAAGGCGATTCTCAACTTGTAAAAGGGCGAGGCTTGTGATCTAAGGAATGTAGAGGTGCATAAGGGCCTTAAGCGGCCTATGCACTGGCTCCTTAAGGTGGCCGGAACGCCTCTTCATTCATTCATAAGGAAGTGTTTTCAGCATAAAAAGTGTTTTAGGAAAAATGAGACTGGTTTTTGAAATGACCGATTCAGCTGCAGTAATCTTTTAAAATGTCCAGCAGATCACACTAACTAGTCAAAATTGGGGTATTAGGTAACTTGAAAAGTGATTGTATGTCCTTTTTAGCAGGCGCGGAACGAACTATTTGCACACAATCAGATTTCTAGTCAACAAGTTAACATTTTACCGGTTTTTTACTGTTTTGAGGAGAACTGTTTTCTGAAATTTCTGTATCCTGGGCTGCAGATATCGACACGGCAATGTTACATCCCCCGTCGACCGACGGTTTTCCAAAGGGCATCTCGGTAAAAACGGAAAAGACCCGGAGAGCCCCCTCCTACGTGCTCGCCCCTAGGGGCTAGGAGAAATGTAATTGCGTTTCTGGTCTGCTCCCCGAAGCCCTTTCCGGAATGATGGAATGAGTCCGGATACGGCTGAGGGTTGAGGGATGGAACGGACCCCACAACAACCTACATCGAACCCGAACGGTCGAGAACCGGGAACTATACACATACAATAATACCCTGGAATATTTTTTGTCTGAAAAAAAACGAGCCGATTGGATCGACTGCCGAAGCGAACAATATTGAATATTAGGGATGATTGTTATTCATTTCATGTCATCGTAATACGGCTGGCGGATCATTCGATGAACTTTCTTTATCCAGCGTTCATATCTCAAGCAGGGTAACCGTATTCCAAGTAGGCTTGACATATGGCCGGAAAATCCGGGAATGTCCCGGAATATTGCGTCTTGTCCCGTGTAATAAGACTCTATTGTCCCCTACTAATCACTAGAGTTGGCAGTACTACACGTACCGCACGGCTGGTAAATGCATACATACTCCGTATTTGTGTTTTAAGATAAGTTGTTCTTGTATCAAAGTTTACCTTATTCATCAGCCATAACGAGATGCTTCTTTTTCATTTTAAGTCTGGAAAGACTATTATTAATTTTCACGCATACTGGGGGGGAAGTATTGTATTCGCGAACATTTTTGATGTTATATTTTTTGGATGTTATATGATATTCATATCAGCAAAAACCTTGTCAATCTTATAACCGGCTATAACTTGAGAAGTACAGCTCGGATTTTGTTGAAATTTTTGCAAAATGTTACTACTATGCTAGAAGCTTTGTAGTTTTTGAAAGTCGGTCCAGTGGCAGCTTAGAAAAAGGCCAAAAACAAAGAGATTAAAATCGCTCAAACTTATTTTTTGACGTTTCAGACGAGCCTAATCATTTTCGGATTTTTTTTATTCATGTTTGATATTAACTAGTGTTAGTTTTTCACTGAAGTTTAATTTAAAGAATAAGATAAAACGGTGTGTGTTAATATTTTTTTATTTTCATTATGATACAAACTATATTATTGATTGTCGATCAAAGTATAAATTAAGCAATAGACTAAAGCGAAGGTATTGAGACAGTCAAGTCACTTTAAATAATGAGAGTGTATGTATTCGAAAAAAAAAATAAGTATTCTTATTTCTACTTAAACAATAAAACATGCTAAAACTATCAAGGGCTGATTAAAATATCTATTTGTTTTCATAAAAATTTATTACTACCGCCCCGTTACCCTTGAATTGTCCCGGAAATGTACCTTGACGAATAAGAAGCTAACAAGCCAACGCCTTTTCTGTATTCTGTAATGACTTGGGGATAGCAAATGTTGTTTGTAAGTTAAATACGTAAACGGAGCTTAAACTGTCATTTAATTAACTACATTATTAAATATTTGTTTTTTCTTTGTTGCAGAACTCAGCACTACGACAACCTTCAGCAGCAACAACAACAGCAGCAACAGCAACAGGACGCTGCCGCCCAACAGCAGTTGCATCATCTGCAGAAGCAACCTTTGAAGGACACCACCAACACCACTGCTGTTAAACAACATAAATTGACCAACGGAGGTAGTGTCGAGGACAACAATAATCATCAACAGCAGCCTGAATCGACGCAACAGACCCACGAAAATACTAACGGCACATCTAACAACAACAACCAACAGGTACATGAGTTGACCAATTGTTTCACTACGTTTTACAAAATAAAATGTAAAGAAGATTTGCTATGGTCATCTTCAAGGTCTTTTCATCAAAACTTTCAAATTCAAATGCCTCTTCCGGCTCCGGTAGGTCTGAGGAATTGATTTTCAAATGTCGGTCGCCAAAGAACATGAAACCTGTGACCACCATTGCTCCGCCCGCCCTACCCTCCACCTTCCTAGGCAGATTTCCCCCTTTTGGCTCAAATTCTGGATCCGCCTGTAGAAAAGCTCATATTATTGGCCAAACAAAAAAATGAAGTTCTAGAAAGGGGAATTCCCCGTTTGTGTGTGATTTTGGCAACTCCAGCTTTTTTTGTTGTCCAGGAATAAAAATACAAGCTTGTAAAAATGGTGTTAAGTGTAAGAACAGGTGAACATTATCAAATAAAGGAAATAGTGGAAGCTTCCAAAATTATCAATAATATTATAGCCTTAGGATTTCTTGAACGGTTAAAGTTGCATTACTGGTTAAATGATAGGACTACACAACTTTTTATAGGGCTTGTTTTTCCTTTTGTTTCTAGTTACAGGAAGTGGCGAAACTCGCCCTCCAAAGTTCAAACGTATTTCCCGCCAACACAACGCAATGACGTAATAAGTCTAGAAGTTGAAGAACTAATATTCTCTGATGCTAACAGTTAGACATGTTCTGCCATTACCCGGAATAAAAAACAAATCCTATTTCTTCGGCGGTAAATTCCCGGGATTTAAATTGTTTATATTTCAAACAAGCTTTTCTCTATCACGTGTGCAAAAAACGGAAATATACTGAACCATGATGAGAATATATTTTTTCAAATAATTAGAAATCGTGAAAAGGTAACTAAATTCAAGCTTCATTTAGTAGGTATAAACGCGCAACACTTTATTCATTAATAACCTACCTAATAACACCAATCGTTCATTATCTCTGACACTTTAGAATGCTCCCAATAAACATTTTACCTAGATTTAAGAACTTTGAGATTGAGAGGATTTTTATTTAAAAACTGATAGGTTGCGTGAAGTTAAGGTCAACCAACGAAGTCGAATAGGTTAGGAGCCAAATTTTGAGTTCATATTTTGTTTCATTTGTCTACCATTACACACCATACGATATAAATCGCTAAGTTATTGTTAATATACAGGAATACATTTAAGAAGGCAAAAAAGTAAATATTTACTAACCGTACAGGATATGAACAATTCTACTCAATTTTTAGTGATTTTGGAAGGTAAAATATACGAAAAACTGTCTCATCAAACAGCAGCAATGGCAGAATACCTGATATTGAAAGTATTCTTTATTCTTTAATAACCACTTTTAACACACAATAATAGAAGTGGTAAAAAATGTATAAATAAGTTATACAATATAAATCATATTCATAACTATATAAATAAACATCAATATAAATATAATAATACATATAAATGTTGCACTTTCCACATATTCGGTTATTTTATAAAATGTCAATAATTTTTAACTTGATTTTTAAATCGAAAATAATTACTAATTTGCTGTGTTTTAACTGGTAATTTATTGTATAATTTAATGCAGTTATTGCAGCGATTTTTTGAAATGTGTATGGATGATTTGTTAATTTTGATTCCTAGTATTGTAATTATGATGAGCATTGATATTTGGGAACATGCTATCAATATTTCTTAACGTAAGTTATACATTTCAAAATACAGGGGACACCTTGCTTGAATTCTACTAGGTTTTTTCTAAATGTGATCCAAGCAAATTCTTGACTAAATGCAAATACCTAGTTGAGCATCATAAATGTAAATTATCCAATAAAAAGATTTGGAAGTAATTTAATTAATTTGATATTCATCGTTTTTTTGGGCCTACTGAGCTTCCTGACTAGAATCTGGTGGTAATAAAATGAGATAGTAAAATTAATATTGAAAACGTGAAAGTAAAGACTTCCTAAAAACTTTTAGATTCAAAATCAAAGTAGATAAAGCTTAAAGTTCCAGTTGGACCTTTTCAGTATCTCCAATACATTTTTCAATGTTGTTGTTAGGTATACCATCCTGTTACAACAAAATATTCGGACTAAGCATTCTAAGAAACAAAAAGTAGTTTCGACAACTATCTGGAACAATAAACTGGATGGAACCCACGCACTTTTATATCTTTTCTCAGAAAAATACAAATTTTATGTGAAATGTCAACAACCGTCATACTGGCCTGATCGATTTGTAGTATGACATTTTATCTTGACTACAGACTCTAAGATTTTGGAAACAAACAAATCATAAGCTTGCTCCTTTTACCTAGTCCGAATTCGTTGGGTCAAACCTATCTGTTGCCATTTCTACATTTTACTTTTCTCCAAGAGATGCTATTGACAATTGACAACTATGTTATCGTTGTTTCCAGGGTAGCCGCTCTTTGCAGTGCTTAGAGACCTTAGCTCAGAAGGCAGGCATCCACGACATCACCCCTGACGACTGCAAGTACGATGTGGCCAACACTCTGCTGAACCTGGACAGAGGCCACGAGTTCATTAAGCAGAGCGTCGAAGTGATGTCTGGCAACATGGCTGACATCAAGCAAGACCAGCAGCAAATGGACGCTAACGCCCAAGCGCAAGCCCAGGCACAGGCGCAGGCTGCCGCGCAACAGCAGCAGATCCAGCAACAGGTGCAACAAGCTATGCAACAACAACAACAACAGCAAGCGCAACAGCAGCAACAACAGCAGCAGCAGACATTGGTGCAGGCGCAGAGTCCGCATATGCAACAGGTAATAACAGTATGTTACCGCGATTAGTAGGGATTAAGTCGAGTTGCTTGATATTTTTAGAGACTACTTGAATCGAAAATAAAATAATAATAATTATTTTTATTGTTCTACTTGCCTGGAGGTTAAGCATTTTCAAACTACTTAATGCTTGATGGAAAATTATATTTTTGCACTTGCAGTTTTGAGGACTCTTTGACAAAAAGTTATATCGTCCTGTGATCGGCAACACCTAAGAAAAATTTCTGCGGGCCCAAATGTAAGCAGTTATACCGATGACAATAGTACGTTTAATTACTTTTAATTTTACTTGAAGACCACTCTGAATTTTTAATTTGCCGGAGGTAGATAGAATTTTGAATGTGTTTCGGGCTATATGTGTTATAACCGCTTATGGTTATGGACTGGGCATGTTAGCGCCCGGGACGCTTCACGACTTTGGCCAAAACGCCTTACATAATGTACATAAATAACTACTATAGATTTTCATTCTTTCGATATTTTAATTTTTTGAATTGATCCGTTAAAAAAATCAAAGGGGAGGGGGACATTAAAGAAAAGCACTGTATATTGTGCGTACAGGGTGATTCACAAGTCGTCACCAAAAATGAAACAGCATACACAGGACCGCATTTTAAGGGGGGTCTTCTATGTAACATTTTTTCCTCGCGCGCTTCATCAAAAAGAAAAAACAGTGGCGTACTATTTTTATTTGAAAAAATAATGCCATTAATCCCGTGTATCTCCGCCACTGGTGCACGTTAAGTAGACTTTTGAATGTGGACAATACTTAGGTAGATTCACATACCAAATTTTAGCTCATTCAAGTGGACGGTTTTAAAGATATTAAAAAAAATGTTTTTTTATTTTTAAACTTCAACACCCCGTATCTTTTTAATGAAGCCCTTGAGGAAAAAATGTTACATAGAAGACCCCCCTTAAAATGCGGTCCTGGGTATGATGTTTCATTTTTGGTCACGACGAAAGAAACAACGTTTATAAGACGGAAATACTTGGAAAAATAAGATAAAAAAATCCCAATAAACATAGGATCTAAAGTGTCATCTTACTGAAATACCGAGTGTTATAAGTATCTACATCTCTGATAGCAGTGTTTAGAATTAGCAAATTGATATACAAACTCCAAATTCTTCGGTTTTTAATATCAAACTTCGCTTTAGAGTATTCTCAAAGTAGAACGGGTTTAAGTTTCTAGGGTTTTCATCTCACGATATGCAAACTAATTTACAATAGTTTGTGTAGAATTTCTTGAGAAAGACAGTTCGTATTCCAAAAAAAGACAGTGGCGTGGAAATGTTTTTGCCTTCTTTTTTTCTGTAGAAGTACATATATCTAAGCCACCGGTATATATATATATATATATATATATGCGCCCGTAGAATTTTTCCTCAGGGAGTCCCGACCATCGGCTAGAGACAACTTTTTGTGAAAAGTCTACGTGTTCGCAGAAGTGTTTGACAAGCGGAAGTGTATAAACCTCCGAAACCTTTTGAAAAACAGGTTAGCAAATTTTCTAAGGCGGAGAAAATCCTAAAAATCCCCAAAAGTTTTCTTAAATCATGCTAAATGTGCAAATATTAAGGTCCAGGCGGATTTTCATGAGGTGAAACAGCCCCCTGGCACCCCCCTGCAGGCGCTCATGGCTGTTTGTAGTACGTGTTGATTATTTCGTCCGCTTCGGAGATTATCATTTTCCCCTATTTTCCAAATATAACTTGTATCTTGGACATTCAGCAGCCTTGTCTAAAGGAACTCTTCATGAGCCTCCCTCAAAATTCTTACGAATCGCCGCTCATGACTTGAAAAATCATATCACTCTTTTTGTCAATTTGTCTCGCCTGCCGTGGTCTACGCCTGTCCGATGGTCCTTCGAGTCTTGTTACGTTCAGACTCTCTTTTCAAAGAAGTTAATATTATAGCTTAGTAAATTTTTATATTTTATATTAATGTTCATCACATTTTAATATACCGTTTTATTCCAGGTGACTGTAGGATCAGCTGGCCAATGTGTTACGACCTCGATGGCTCCTCAACAACAGCAAACCCAACAGCAGCAACAACAGCAACACGCCGTCACGATGCACCAACAGCAACAGCAGCAACAAGCCCAACAGTCACAGCAGCAGGTAGTTGTAGATTTTACAAAAAATGTTAACCTTTCTCGGTCATTCACTAAACTGAATCAATTAGCACCTGCCAAGGAATCTACAGTACTATTGTATAGGCCACATCATTGATCCTCAAAGTGGTCTATGCGAGTGAAAAAATGAATTGAAGGTCTATCAGATATAAACGGAGGTCCACGATAGTGGTGCACATATTAGCAGGTTTTCCAACCTCCAAAAATATTTTTCATCAAGTCCTAGGAACATACAGGAGCAAACACTGATATTTATTGATTAGTTAGACCGATTAAACATTGTTTTTTGATATTATGAGATCATCACCTAACACCTTTGTTTGTGTTCTTCCAGCAGGTGCTACAGACGCAAGCGGCCCAAGTCCTACAAACAGCAGGTAGTGCTGCCGGAGCCACTATAACCACCATGTCCCCACTGCAACAAAGCCAGGCCCAGCAACACCAGCAACAATTGGGAGCTGACTGGAGCCATGGCAGGGCGGTCCAGGTGATCCAACAACCCATTCAGAACCCTACCTATTTGCAGCAGTTGTACCAAGGAGCCCAGGGACAGTTGCTGATGCCTGGGAATATCAGCAATATTGCTCTGCATCCGAGTATCAATCCTTCGCAAATACAGGTAGGACAAAATTAATCTATCGTAGGTATTTCTAAATTTCTAATCTTAATTGAAACAGCGTAATAACCCTCATTGACGCTACACGAAAGAAAACTTTAATATATATATATATATATATATATATATATGGTGGCCCATCCATGTGTGGACGGAATATTACTAATAAACAAATACATTTTTGGAAAATCTATTTATGGGATGTTTGTTATACATGACATTTGAGGGCACATTTCTAAAATATTGTCCATTATACCCAATTTCGACCTACATATCAAAGTTGTGGTTTTTCAAATGGAATGCCTCAAATTTTATTGCATATTTGGATGAACCAATTCAAAAGAAGAAAATTGGTATAACATACTATGGGGTTTTGGTAATTAGTTACTGAGATATAAGGTATTTTGTCTATAAAAACACCCCATTTCGACAACCTCTCAGTCTGCCATTTTAAAATTTGGAGTGTTGAATTTTGTATCAAAAAAAACTTAACACCTCAGCTTTTATCTTATTGGTTACTTTTTCGAATATTTATTTTTGCTCATACATGGTGGTAAAAAACGCGAATTGTACTTTTTCTCAAAATTTCAAATGCATCACCCTGTATAATTGTGCATGTTTGGATTCAATTTTTTTATATTTTTTTTTTGTTATAAGGTTTGATTCTGACAAAATCACTACATTTTGAGTTATTCAGCTTATAATAGAAAAACACCCCAAAATTAAGGAAAAAATCACATCATCCATGGAAACAAAAGACAAACAGAGGACTAGTTCCATATTGCCACTAAGAATACAGATTTGACGTAAAAACTATTTACAAACAGAACAGTATAAATCAGCTTCAAACGTAATTGAAAAAACAACTATAACAACAACATAAACAAACAACTATCACTACTCAAGACCTAATCTACAAAAACTGCTCGAACCTTATACAAAAAAAAGCTTATAAAAAATTGAATCCAAACTTTTGAGAAAAAGTACAATCCGCGTTTTTGACCACCCTGTATGAGCAGAAATGAAAATTCGAAAAAGTAACAAATAAGAAAAGTAAGTTTTTTTTATACAAAATTCAGCACTCCATATTTCAAAATGGCGGATTGAGGGGTTGCCGATGTGGACGGTTTTTCTGGACAAAACACCTCACATCTCAGTGGCTAATTATCAAAACCCCATAGTATGTTATATCAATCTTCGTCTTTTAAATTGGTTTGTCCAAATATGCAATAAAATTTGAAAAATCACAACTTTGATATGTAGGTCAAAATTTGGATAGCCAATATTTTAGGAATGTGCCCTCAAATGTCATTTATAACATCCCATAAAAAGATTTTCCCAAAATGTATGTTTTTTATGAGTAATATTCCGTCCACACATGTAAGGGCCAGCCTATATATACCTGTATACAGGGTGGCCCAACGAAAAGGTCGCACCCCCATTTGTGACTCTCCTGGTATATTTTGAGAAAAACCCTCGGACACGTTAACTTTGATTTCTAGGGGGACGTTTTTTCATCTATAGCCAATGCAGGGTGAGATTTTTAAACGAAAACCCCCATTTTTTCCAATTTGTAGATTCTCCATGAAGTTTTTAGTAACTTATGTATAATAAAGTTTATACCTATCTTCAATCGTTGTGAAGCTATTTGAGTTTATAATACAATTCTAGAAAGCGCTGAAAGTGGTGTCCATTTACCTCCATGCAGAAATAAAAATTTTGTTCGAATCTGTTCCTCACATTTTCAAGCATGTCTTGAGTTATTTGTCTACATTCAGCCGTAATCCGATGAAGAAGATCTTGAATGGAATCTGGCTTCGTACTAAAAACTTATAATATAAAGGACTTACATAGGTCCGGAGATCTCGGCGGACACTCGATGGGGCCTCGTCTGCCGATCCACTGATTCGTTAAATGTCCTTCAATATGATTTCCAAAACTGCCGGCCCACACATTATTTTTTTTCAGGATATTGCCAGTGTACCTCTCGAAGCAAATGTGGGTTCAAGTCACTCCAATATAGAAAAATATGTCTATTTACAGCACCATGTAGGTAGAACGCACACTCATCCGAGAAACAAATATTAAACAACAGATTTGCATTGTTGATTAAACGTTGGGACATTAAGTCGCAAAACTCCAACCTTCTATCAAAATCGTCTTCATTAAGCTCTTGGACAACTTTTATCTTGTACAGGTGAAACTTATTGCCTCTCAAAATTCTTTGTACCGTTGAGCGTGGAAATCCTGAAAAAGTAGCCAGTTTACGAGTGCTTTGGGTGTTGTCAAGTGCTACATGTCCCAAAACTGCTATTTCTGCACTGGTCGATCTTCTCGATCGCGAATATTAGACACAGATACAGTTTCTTCAAATTTTTTCAACTTAGTCACATACTTGTCGTTAATATTTTTGTCTGGATGTAAACCATTAAACAACCGGGCAGTAGCTCTCGCAATGCTCCTATTTTTTTAATACAGTTTTGTTATTTCTACCCTTTCTTGAATTGAATAAGTCATTGTTCAATGTCTATCACAACTAGGTAGGTAACTTAACAGTTTGAAATCAAAGTTTTTCTGTGAAATACGATGACACTGGGCAGTAGCTCTCGCAATGCTCCTATTTTTTTAATACAGTTTTGTTATTTCTACTCTTTCTTGAATTGAATAAGTCATTGTTCAATGTCTATCACAACTAGGTAGGTAACTTAACAGTTTGAAATCAAAGTTTTTCTGTGAAATACGATGACACTGGGCAGTAGCTCTCGCAATGCTCCTATTTTTTTAATACAGTTTTGTTATTTCTACTCTTTCTTGAATTGAATAAGTCATTGTTCAATGTCTATCACAACTAGGTAGGTAACTTAACAGTTTGAAATCAAAGTTTTTCTGTGAAATACGATGACACTGGGCAGTAGCTCTCGCAATGCTCCTATTTTTTTAATACAGTTTTGTTATTTCTACTCTTTCTTGAATTGAATAAGTCATTGTTCAATGTCTATCACAACTAGGTAGGTAACTTAACAGTTTGAAATCAAAGTTTTTCTGTGAAATACGATGACACTGACTGATGCTAAATGTTCTTGCTGGTATCCATGATTATTATTGTTTGGGGTGCATTCCATTATTATCGATATTAAGTTAGTCGAATTTTTTTATAAACTTGAATAGCCTCACAACGATTGAAGATAGGTATAAACTTGATTATACTAAAGTTACTAAAAACTTCATGGAAAGTCTAAAAATAAAAAAAAATGTACCAGGAAAGTCACAAATGGGGGCGCGACCTTTTAGTTTTACCCTCTCTAATGATAATAATAGTTTAATATTTCGCTATTCCTTTCGTTTAGATACACTATCGTTAGTAGGTGGTTCCTGTCACTCAAATGGCCCCAAAACGCGATTATCCAGGGCACGGTTTTTAATATTAATTTTCGTTGTTTCACGTTTTGTGGGTCCTGGATTATTAATTGGTATCGATTAGAAATACTATACTTATTTGTATACACATTACCAATTTAAAATGACACCCCCTCCTCAACCTTCAACCCCCCAATATCTTTTAAACAGATGAATCGATTTTTATTAGACATAGCTAAAGTCAATGGTGGCTGAGAAACATACCAAAAACGAAAAAAATAAAAATCGCCCAAACTTTGCTTTTTAACGTTTCAGAAGATCCTGATAGTTTTGATGAAAAATGTATGGGTAAAAAATTGAGAGATGTGGGGTTGTAGGAGGTGTGGGGAGGCTGTCTCATTTTTTTATGTTAGTTCTACGCATCTATTATTCATATTTTACATATCATGCATTTCCCCGTCCAATTGTTCTTAAAATCGTGCTTTCGATACGCGTCACTGCTTCTGCTGTCTGGAATCACCGTCGAGCGTATTGTCATCTGACGCGTTGTACTGTCAGAGGTATCGGGGAGAGGCGACGTTGCGCGTAAGGACTAATTGTGTAGGCCTCTTTGACTGACTTGATCCGTTTAATTTCTCAGTTATACATGTTTGTAACTAGCCGATGACGGCGTTGCAATGGGAAGTGCTGAATCAACCTACTTGACACCATTTTTTGAATCGAGGTTAATATTATGAGATTGTAGCATTGAGAATACCGTTTTTCAGGTGATAGCGAAACCTTTCCAAGGTAACCAGTTGGCGCCACACATGCTCACTACTGCACAGGGCAAGCAAGTTTTACAAGTAAGTAAACTAAGTCTCTGGATTCAGCAGTATTTGAAATCATTATCTATATCATAGCACAAAAAACTGTTTTGAAAGCCAGTTTCCATAAGCCAAGATTATATCCGACGAACAACTTGTATCAGGAAACAGGGATACTTGATACAAGACAACTTTATTTCTTACATGTCACCACCTTATACCATAAGTATTGTAATGAAAAAAACATGTATAAACATGAGCATAACACACGATTTCGAATAGGGTCAATTGAAAGACTGGATTTGTACTGTACTGTATACATAATTATATAGAAAACCAAAACTACAAAATTCCAATTATATTAATACTTTTTCCAATAATAATTGTTATACACATATGATTGATTGTTAGTTACTAAGATATAATCCACACACAGGCGACGCCCTCTGTGGTTTTTTTCATATTTGTTTGCCCATTTTTTGTATTTTGTATTATTATTATTATAAAAATTGAATGTCTAAGAAGCTGCTAATAGAGTTTATTTATTTATTTGTCGCATAATAGCATTCCTGCCACTATATTAAATTTTCAACACGTAGTATTTCAGTAGTCACTAATTTTATTTATTATTAAATTTAAAGATTACGCGAGTATTGTACAGGGTCCGTCAGAAAGAACGCATGCTTTTCGAATGGGTACTACATCGAGTGGGCTGGTCTCGTGTCGGTGGAGAAGGGCGTGTTGGATAGTGGGAGAAGTGCCGTTTCAGCGTTGAGCATCGAGTGTTCACTGTACGCCCGTACTTTCAAAATGGCGAGTCTGTCGTTCGAACGCATCGTGAGTTTCGCGTTCACTTTCGTGTTCCACATCGTGGGACAGTATCAAACCGTAACACCATTTTGAGATGGGTACACAAAGTGAGAGTTGACATGCTGCAAAGCCGGAATCGTTCCGTCTGTTTGCGTGCCAGTTCCCTAGGGATCCACGCGTCCTCTGTACGTCGTATCTTGAATAAGGATTTAGTGTTCCATCATCACAAAATCCAAGTTTGTCAACAACTGTTGCCAGGGGATTATGCACAACGTGTTAATTTTGCACAGCTCATGATTGAACAGTTGGATAACAATGACATGACGTTGTTAAAGAGTGATGAAGCACATTTTCATTTACATGGATACGTCAATAAACAAAATTGTCGATCTTGGTCTCCAGTGAACCCCCAACAGTTGCATGAGCACCCGCTGCATACCCCGAAAGTTACAGTTGGGTGAGTAGTAGGCCCAACGATGATTATTGGTCCTTATTTTTTTTTGAGAATGATGGAGAAACAACTAATGTGGATTCAGAGCGTTACATCCACATGCTGAACAACTTGTTTTTTCCGGAACGTCGACGTGTCTGTCTCACTACAGTGTGGTTCCAACAAGACGGGGCAACATCTCACGCGGCTCGCACTCCGATGGAACTTCTTCGGCAAAAATTCCCAGGACGGCTCATTTCACGTCATGGCGATATTCCATAGCCCCCTCGCTACCCGGACCTGTCAACGTGTGATTTTTTTATGGGGCTACCTGAAATCAAAAGTTTACCAAAGCAAGCCTCGGACCCTCGTCGATTTGAAGGAGGAAATAAGAAGAGAACTAACCCAAAGTCCTGCACGGATGCTGGCCGACGCAGTGGGCTCATTTCGGGAGAGGCTTGTTTCCTGCATTTCGGCTCAAGGGCGCCATATGGCCGACAGTTTTTAGAACGTAAATTTTGTTTTACTCAAAAAATGTCATGTATTTTGATGTAATAAAATATTTTTCCCGTACTTATTTTGACTGTACTACATTTAAAAAACATGCGTTCTTTCTGGCGGACCCTGTGGTTACATTATTTAAGCTCAAATAGCAACAAGTGTTCTTATCTGTCATTTACCTGCCACCTCATTCTATTTTTATTAGGCACTAAGTGATTGCGATCTGCTCACATGTGTTGATTTACCTATGTACTGTGTATATCTTTTTTTTAATTATGTGGGGTATAGAAATCATTGGCTGTGTTCACTAGCACTTAGCAGCTGAATCTTAACGCTGTCTGTGGAGTATAGGTATATCACATTCAGCAACTGTGCTAAATCTTTTTTTAGACAGCGCTAAGATCCAGCTTCAGTGATAGTGAACTCAGCCATTGATACTGATGGCTAAGAAGGTATTAAATAGCCGTTGGAACCCTTTAAATCCGTAGTTTTGAACGAAGTTCTTTTTCAGGGAAGTCAAGCAGCAACGTTCCCTGGATATACGACAATCCCAACGATACCAACCACCCAAAACCAACAAACGTTGGTCTTCAGCCAATTGGGTGTTATCAGTTCTCAACCGAATATCTTGCCCAATCATTCGCAAGGTAACGCGCAGGTAGCCCAGCAGAAACCACAAGAGATGCATAAGGTATGTCTTGTTTAAGGTATACTTCGATAAAGCAAAGCGGTTCTGATTGTTAAATCACTATTTAGGGAAACCCTTAGAGAAAACAATTTTTGCTGGAATATTGCAAATTATACAAACTGGTATCTTGGATGTGTTAAATGTATCTAACAGTTTGCTGTTTAACATTTTCACCTTATTTCCTTTGTGGGCTTCTCGAATTATTGAGCTTAAGGTTTAATTATTTTCTATTTGATAGTGTATGTACTGTTTTTTATGTTATCAAAGTCAGTGTTTTTAAAAAATTACTCTTTAACTGTTTGATGTGATTAATGTCTATATTATTGAAAAAGGCTATGATGAAAAAAATAAATATTTCTTTCATGATAGCTTTTGTGTTCTCTAACTGTAACTTCAAGCTATTTTCAATTAGGCACATTAGATATTTAGATGAATTTGTCATAGACAGTGCTAAGAAATGTTGTGGACTTGTATTATTCATAATATACGAACTTCAAATTAATTATCAAATTGATTATTTCAATATTCTTTGTTGTAAAATCTATTTTGAAAATAGCTTGATCTTTTTGTACAGATCCCTATTAATCAACCTTATAACATACACAACGGGTACTCCCCTAAGCATAGCGCTGTGTACTATTTGCAAAAAGTATTCCTCCAGTTATATATAACTGCAATTACTCAATGGATTTTTTTACCTTAAAACATGAAATAATTAAAAAAAAATAATGCATTTTATTGAACAATATTAACACTGATTCATTAAAAATTCAGGCATAAACGGTAAAACTTACTTACATGCAGGGTGTCCCATGATTTACCTCTATGCAAAAGTGCTTCGTTTGCCCGTTTGAGGGCGTTAAATTTTTCTTTTTAAAACACATTTTTTCAGATATTTTTGGAGCCGATATTCAGATTTTAATGAAATTTGGAACACATGTGTTTTGTTAGACGTCCTAATATTTAAAAAAAAAACAGAAAAGGTTCGAGAAGAGCTACCTCCAACCCTATATAAATTATAGCAGAATCTTTTAGCAACTCTCCCAACGACTCTGATTTTTTTTTATTTAAAAGACCCTCTTACTTATTTCATTTTTTTTCTCTTATTAAAACAGGCCATCTCGCATAGTTTTCGAGACAAAAAATGTTTTTCAGAGAGGCTTCACAAAGTTTTCTGATTACATCAACTGTTAAATTTTTTTGCGACATATTATTATGTGCAAGAACGAAATGGTGATCATATTTTGAGCACATTTTATGAAAGATACGCTCTATTCCCTGTATTAAATAAAATTGTAATAAGTAATATCATATTTGTTTATTTTCGCTAATTACATTTAAATAATTAATAAGACGGTTGGGAACCTCTTGATGCAACTCCTTCTTTTTTTTTTCTCGAAAACTATCCGAGATGGACTGTTTTTATAGGAGACAAATAATAAAATAAAAAGATTTGCTAATTAAAAAAAAATGTGAGTCGTAGGGAAAATTGCCAAAAAAATCTGCTATAATTTACGTAGGGATATGGGTAGTTTTCATCCTTTTCGAAACTTTTGGACCCCCAGCATTATTTTCTTGAATTTAAGAATTGACATGGTTTGACCAAAGAGTAGTTATATAAAGTGAAGTCAGAGAAGAAGAATAAAATTAGAGAGAGATAAGAGATGACTCCAAAAACATGGTTTCCAAACACGGCTGTTCTCATTTAATCGGAAATAAATGCATTCTTGCCAGATAGATAGTCCTTTTTGGATGAATTGTCATTTAATCGTGGTGGGAATATTTATCATCCACTTGCAATGTATTTTTCATCAATGAAGTTATAAATCACACTTTTCGCGAGAGAAGCTCTTCTCAAAAACTGTGAATTATCACATAGCTATTCAAATTTTAGGGCCCTACGCGGAATACCCCACGACTTAGTTTGGTAAAAAAAGACGTAAGTCAGCTTGATATTCAAAAGATTTGTAACCTCAAATTGCTTATTTGACGAATCGCCGGAGTATTTCATATGGACGCGAATTATGTAGACAGTGCGACCTTCAGATAATGTGTGTATTTAGTTCGTATGAATTTTAACTTAACAACCAAAAACCGTGAATGTAGCGTTTTATAAATATTTTATGGCAGCTTGGCAACACCGCCTCGGTAGCACATACATATATCGCTTTTTAGTAATAGTCCAAGAGCCGAACGTAAAGTCTTGGTTATATCAGTACGCGATGGTGTAAAAAACTCACGATCGTCTTCCCTACTATAATGCATATGACTGTCAAGGTCAATGGGGCCGGCAGGCGGATTATAAAGGCATTCCACGAAGTATCTCCTCTTGATATAAGTACTCTTTGATCTGAATCCCCTGTATCAGTTCGTCATAAGATCTTGTGCATATATGAGCTAGGTGTTAATATAATTATGAACTGGAGGAACATTACAACTACACCGAAGAATTAGTTTAAGATACTTTTGCCTGAGAGTATAGTTTGTCAATTTTGTGATTGTACATATTAGGTGATGGGCGGTCAAAAAGTGCAAATGCAAAAAGTGTCGGCGGGTAGTACCGGCGCTGTTGCTCAGACACAACAACACCAACAACAGGCTCAGCAACAGCAGTGCGTTCAAGTTTCACAAGCAATGATCGGCACACAGCCAACCGCTCAAATTATCAGTCCCATACAAGTAAGGCATTCGTCAAAACTATAGTCGAGATCATCTCGATATCTTGCCTTTCAGTAGAGTATTCAGAAAGTAGATAGAATTGACTGGAGGCTCTCTTTTATAGGTTCTATAGAATAAACTGTATAGAAGAAAGACTATTCTTCTAATGATTCTATTTAATATGAATTTCTTGTGATTAATTGGATTTGAGGGTGTAAAGAGACACAGTTTCCTGTTATAAGGTTGGCGCCGTTTCTAATTTCATTCTGCAGGGCTCCAAAAAAATGTTTAAAACACTAACTTTACATATAATTAACAATTTATACGTATAACAAATTTCACTTCGATTTTTTTATTATTTAAATGTATATATATGTACAGTTTGTGTTTCAAACATTTTTTTTGTAGGGCCCTGAAGACGGGAAAACATTTTTCGACAACTTTATTACAGGAAACTGTGTTCCTTTGAACCCCAAATCCAATTAATAAGCAATTTAATAAACTGTATCTCCAAGAATACTTATTTATGAAATTCTTCCTGCTGTACACTCTAAAAACCTTAGTTCTATGAGGATATTATGAACAAAAACTAAAAGATATCATCTCAAATCACAATTTTAATACAATTTCTAAAAACGCATATGACTTGTTTTAAGTTAATTTAATGGAAAAACTTCGAGAGATCATTAAACTTGAAAATAACAAACACTGGTATTCGAACACAGAAATTCATTCAATATTGCTGTTATTTTCGATTAATTAATTGTCTGCTCCAACTCTAATAAGAATTATACAGAATGAGTTAAATTACCCATTTATAGATAACAAAATATTCTGTGACAATCCCTGTGCAGTTTTTAATAAATTTATTATTTTTGAAAATTACTTAAGAGAACCTATAACTTGAACTTCCATTTCCATAGCATGAATGATGAGAGAGTCTTACGGTTGGCATTTGTTTTCTGAGTTTGTAAAGTAAAGGTCGCTGACTAAAAGTTAGGAATTTTTCTCCAAATACAGGGTGGTGCATAGAAAACGTAACAGACGCATTTACTGGCACCTCAGTTATTTTTTTGAAAAACGCTCAGATCCGTCGATTTTGCCTTCGAGGGGGACACAAGTTTGGCAAAAAATCACGTTAACACGTGCAGCCCCCTGGGCGGGGGTGACACCAACCCTAAAATCTTAAATGGAAAGGGGGGTCGAGTGATACCTTATTTTAAAGGTCTTTCAATTCCCTTTATAATGATGTAAAATACATGAGCTTCAGTTCAGTAGTTTTGAAGATTTATTGATTTAAAGCTTAAAGTAGACTTTAATAGGTACATCAGATTAGTTTGTACTACTTCCAGAAGAAATTTGACTAAAAGAATTTACTTAATAATTAAATGCTTTTCTTCACTACGCCCATGGTTTGTTTATCATTTTGTTGTTGAAAATAGCTATGGGAGCGTTTTTTTGTGGCAAAAAAGTTATTTCTTGAAGAAAGATAAGGAAATATCTCGTACTTATTTTTAATAGGAATTTAGTACATAGTTTGCGATTGATTTGACCAAAATTTGTTGCTAAAATAACTTGTAACGCTTTATTACATAAATTAACGGTATATTCCACAGCAGAAAGAGTTGAAATTATCGAAATATTTTTCGGAAATAATCAGTGCGCTAATAGAACAGCAGAAATATTTAATGAGCGACATGAGAACAGTAACGTGCATCGACAATATGTTCTAGAACCTGTAGCTAAATTTCGGGAAACTGGGTCAGTCGCCAATAAAAAACGCAACATTGAAAATCCCATAAGGAACGAAGCAATAGAAGTGGAGGTTTTAGGGTAGATCCTACGTTAAGTACCCGCAAATTGGAGACTGTGTGTGGTGTTAGTCGACGTACTGTCCAACGGATTCTAAAGGCCCATAGTTTTCATCCGTATAAAATTCACCTGGTACAAGAACTTAATGAAGACGATTTTGATCGGCGGTTACAATTTTGTGAAGATATGAGTGAACGAATTATAAACGATGAACATTTTCTCTTCAACACTTGCTTTTCCGACGAATATTCATTTTTCTTAAATGGCCTAGTAAATTGTCATAACTGCCGATATTGGTCCGATTCTAATCCCAGAATTTATCATGAGGTTCATACACAGCAGCCACAAAAATTAAATGTTTGGGCTGGTATTTTTGGCGATCATCATCATTTGACCGGTGAAATGTATTTGGAATAACTGGAAGTCGCCATAGATCCTTCATTAACAGCCGTAATTGAAAATCAGAATGATCGGCGGTACATTGCGAATACTTTGATGTTCCAACAGGATGGTGCCCCATCACATTACGCATTACGTGTTCCACAATATTTAGATTAGACGTTTCCAGATCGATGGATTGGTAGAAGAGGTGCCATTGAATGGCCCCCAAGATCGCCAGATTTATCACCTTTGGATTTCTTTATGTGGGGTCATTTAAAAAGCAAAATCTATGCTACTCAGCCAACATCATTAGAAGACCCAAATTTGAGCAAAATCTTTATTATTGCATGGAGAGTCATGGTAGCCATTTTCAACATTTACTTGCCTAACGGATCAGTTCATTCTTCATTTTTAAATTACTTTGCTGCCAAATGTATTGATCTCCACTAATGATGATGTATTAGTTTTATTTAAGCTTTAAATCAATAAATCTTCAAAACTACTGAACTGAAGTACATTAATTTTATATCATTATAAAGGGAATTGAAAGACCTTTAAAATAAGGTATCACTCGACCCCCCTTTCCATTTAAGATTTTGGGGGTGGTGTCACCGCCGCTTAGGGGGCTGCACGTGCTAACGTGATTTTTTGCCAAACTAGTGTCCCACTCGAAAACAAAATCGACGGGCCTGAGCGTTTTTCCACCCTGTATATAATAAAATAATCAAATATTAGTGTTTCTTTCAAACAGAAGTACGGGGAAGTAATTAATTGCTATCAGTACAAATTAAATGATATCCAAACAGTTCCGTCAAATAAATTTTATTTATTATAATAAAGGTGATAATTTATAATAGTTCATCTGGAATAATTGCATGCACTGAATTTCCAAGCGTGTGATTGTTATTGTGGGTTATTCCGAACATATAAATCTTCTATATAAAGAGTGGTTTTAAAATGCTGCATAAAAATCCATATTCTCTTTAATAGTGGTGTGTGCGTCTTGCAGAATATTGGTATTGGTATTGTACAGCATCATGTTGAAGGTGTTGGGATAAAGTTGGTGAAAAATTAGTTTAATAGGTACGGATGCGGCAGCATAACTTCCTTTATTAAAACGCGCGCCATCATGCGTTGGAACAGTGAGTGCGTATTTTTACCGTTGAGGCCTACTTTTCGAGCGGATGTTCTGGGATCGCAACCCAGTGCGCCTTTCGAAATCGTTTTATATATAATTTAGCCCCGCTGGCCCCTTTCTCGGACCGGAAATCAACTGTTACGTCTGTCACTACGTTCAGACAAACTGCAAGCACGACAAGACGAAGAACTGGAATCCCTCGGCCCATTAGATCACCTGAAAACATTGAAGCAGTGAAAGCTTCGATGTTGCGATCACCTCTGCGTTTTGTGCACCAACATGCGTCTGCCTCATTCTATGAGGAAAATTCTTCATGATGATCTTCATTTCCATCCTTATAAGTTGCAATTGTGCAAGAACTTTCTGATGGTGACTTCAGTTCTCTGATGAACGCGTGTGAGCATCTTTTCGAAGTCGTTCCTGAGGACGCTAATGTTTTTATGGTGATGAAGCCCATTTTCATTTGTGAGGATCCGCCAACAAACAAAACATGCGCTTCTGCTGACACCTCGAGACATGGCTTTTATCTAAAGTCCAGTGTGGTGTGCAATTTCCTCAGCTGGAATTATTGGTCCCTGATTCTCTGAGGAAAATGAAGCCACAGTGACAATGAATCCGGACCGGTATGTAAATATGTTACATTTTTTTTCCACGGCTAGATTTGGTTCCAACAAGACGGTGCAATGGCACGCACTTCAAGAGAATGCCTGTTTTGGGCGAACACCTCCCAGAGCTCCTCATATCATTTAGTGGCGATTTGCCCCCTTTTTTCTATGAGTTTTTTTGAAATCCCGTGTTGATGTGAACAATCCAAGATTTGAAAATGAACATCCAGTAAGAAATTACCAGCACAACGCCGGCTATGCTGGCAAGAGTCATGACCAACACCAGAAATCGGTTTCTGGTTTCTGAATGAGGGACGTCACTTATCTGATTTTATCTTCAAAACTATGTAAAATAAAATATTAAGCATGGCTCTACATTATAAAAATCAAATAAAAATGTTCTGATTCATATAATGGGTTTTGATAAGTTTTGAAAAAAGGAAGTCATGCTGCCGCGGCCTGTATATGGCTGTATGAGCTGCTTGGCACTAACATAAATGTATATTGTTCATAATTTTTTGAATCATGTTAGCGTTTTTCTCTTTAAGAATTGTAGTATTGCATGAATGAAGATTTTGTTGATATTATGAACAGTATATATACATCACCGCTTCTTTACACTTTTGGGCTAACACACATTTATATTAACACTCATACACTTGGCGACTATCTATTTTTCATAGATGGCATGTTTTTTACACTGCGAATAAAGGCTTTAAATTGAATTAATGCAAATGAAACCATTTGTTCTCAAGTTGTGATTTTAAATAGCTATGTCAATTTAAATCCGAGAAATTTCATCAATCATGGTTTTACTAGTATTATTGTACAATCTTTAATTACTTTATTTATGTTTAGTAACCATTTCCACTTTCAGCTAGCACTACTATCGTATTTCTATAGAATACATTTTCATTTAAATTCATTTGGATTGATGAATTAGTAGTGCAATTTATCAAGATTATAGGTAGATTCCCTTCTAATAATAAAAATTCTCATAGCCTGGAGGACAACCAATGCAGTTCGCTGCCCCGTGGCAATTTGCTAACGGCTTGCAACAGGTGTGGACAACAAACGGATTGCAGTCTCAAGCTCTCCAACTGGCCCCTAATCCAATTTTTATCAGAGGTACCCAAGCTGATGGAACGCCTGGACCTGGCATGTTCATACAGCAGAATCCACAGACTGCCACCATACAGACGCAACAAAACCGTAAGTTCAAAAAATCATTGATTCTATTTAGTAGTTGTTCGTTCCTAGGGTATCGAGATTGTGGAACAATCTAGATGAGGAGGCTTTTCCCAGTTCTACTAACCTTAGGCAACTCAAAAATTGGAATAAACAAAGTTTTTTTAAGCTCCTCATAGTAGTCGCGGTGCCCTGGCATTTATGCTTCTGCCTGCGCGGCTACTTCGGTGTTCAAGACTGCAAGCTGTAGAGCGAGTAATGTCTAGCTTTAAGTAAAACTTTTTTGTTGTGTTTCCGAGATTTCCTAATTTTAACTAATATCTTGCAAATTATAAACATTTCTGACAACCCGCTGAATACACTAAAATTCTTCTCTTTTTCATAGAAGCTATAGCAGCTGCCCAAGGTACTGTGCAGCAAATAACGAAACCTAGACCACCGAACGAGAACATTCAGCCGAAACAGCAAGCGACCAGACCATTGAATATCCTGCCTTCCAATGCTGCCAACATTAGGCCTGCCAGTTCTGTATCCACCCAAACTATCGGAGCTCAAACACCCGTAAGTACCACCGATCCATGAATGTACTACTATTTTCGTACAAAATTGTCCTGGACAGACATTTGAACATCTTCCCCATGCTCATGTTTACCTTAGATTTCTGAATATAGAAACTTATACTCACTTCAGAAAAATTGACTATTTTTATTGGAAATCGTCAGAATATTCTTCAAATATCTTACATGGTTTTAAAACATTAAATTATAAATGACACGAGCTGTTACCCGCGATTTGCTATAATTGCATTGTATTAGTTAATTATTGTCAGTCAACTTGCGAGCTTGTGAAATTTGGTTATTTTAAAATGAAACTAACTTTTACATTGTAAAACCTACCCCTCACCCAAATTGCTGGTTACACAATCCACTGTTACTTCAAGACAACATCAATGCCAATTATCAGATATTAGAAAACTCCAAGCAATTTCAAACAGATTTGCAAGTGCCCTTTAATTCTTAGCTGAAATCCTGACCATGTTTGTAGGTCAAACAGTTTCCGAGTTATATCGTGATTAATGGGTATCTTTTCGCTTTTACATATATCGGCCCTTAGCCCCTCTTGACTAGCTCTGTTGCAAAATCCATTTATAGCTGACGTTTATTCTTCACGGGAATACCTGTCATAGGTTGAATAGTTTCCGAGATTTCGTGGTTTATGTGTATCTTTTCGCCTTTATATAACTTCACCCTTAGCTCCCTTAATCCGGCCCTGTTGTAAAATCAGTTCTTAACTGACTCGTTCTGTCCATAAACTACCTCCCTACAAAATTTCATGATCATAGGTCAAATAGTTCTTGAGTTTTCGTGATTAATGTGTATCACCTCTCTTTTATATTCTGCTCTTAGCCCAGTTATTCCGGCCCTGTTTAAAAATATGTTCCTAGCTGAGATGTTTTGTGCCTCTTTGCGAATTTAATATTCATAGGCTAAATAGGTTTCGAGATTTCGTGAATAATGGGCGAGTATCTTTTCGCATTTATATATACCTGCCCATAACGTTCTGTTCATGAACTCCTCTGCCAAATTTCATGTTCATAAGTCAAATATTTGTAGTGTTCGAGATAAATGAATTTCAATAAATTTTAAAAGCGATAGGGTTCCCTAGAGAAATGTTCAATCACCTCCTATCCCATCTTGAATTTCTGGAACTCTTTATTAATAATAATTATTTTGAAGATGAAATTGAAGACTAAACATACTCCTACGTTTAGGCTAGAATAATTTGAAATATTCTAACTTCTCTAAAAAAACTTGAAAAATGAAAATTCTCACGTTACCATCTTAGAATTAGAATTTACAAAATTTCTTTGCAAGTGCCCATATCTGTTAACCTTGATTTAAAAAATAATAGTTTCCTCATAGTAGCTATCACCCCTTATTTCAACCCCTTCAATGCTAATTTTCACAACAAAAGGTAGGCTATCTCCATCTAATACATATAGTAAAATTCATGCAAATCGGTTCAGTCGTTTTGGCGGGAAAACGGAGCGTACATACACACTTTCACATTTATAGCAGTAGTAGGGGTTTTGTACTGCAAATATTATGTATTATTTATTTTTTTAAATGAACAACAAAAATGATACGGTATAGAGCTGTTAGCTAAAGGGAAGTTTTTAAAGTTTTTTGATCAATGTAATCATGACAACTTCTTGAAGTTTTATTTTTTCGATATATATGGCAAAGTAAAATTATCATTATGGCTGAGACAAAACAAGTGTCACACCACAAACAAACTATGTAGGTTTTGCATCAGCTCAATTCTTATTTCCATACCACTTTAACGTTTGTGCTGTATAACTGAAATTAAATAAAATCATCCGTCAGTGATTCATCCATTATGTAGACGACGTCTCGCGAATCTATATAGAACATACTGAATAGTGAATCATATTATATACAATCAAAACATTAAACATCTCATGTATTTGTCTGATTATCGCAGGCTTCGATGGGCGGAAAACCTGGCACGAAAATCAGGACGAAAGCTCCTCAAATTCGAACATCACCGGCTCCAAAGGCAGATGCTGCAAATCAAACACAAATCAAACCGTATACGAACCTGCAGCATCATATAGTCGGAAACAAGTAAGTTTTGACGCACAATTTATATTTAAGCAATTCATTCAACCGCATTGCTATTTATTTTTATTTGTACTTGTTTTTTCATAAATTTAAGTAGAAAAGTCCATAACATGTGTCCTCAAAAGTTTTAAAAGAATGATTCTTTATTAATATCTCAAAGATCCTTGTGCCAGTTATGTTGAATTTTGGCAGTACTCTTCATTGCAATGAAAGCTAACTTAGCGCTAAGTAAAATATTATTAATCCCAGTGGCGTCTCGGAGGGCAGTCTCATGAATGATATTGGCAAAAAATGTACGCCAATGACTTTTTTAAAAATATACGGTGTGTTAGGGAAATAATATTCGTAACTTTAAGAGGTGGTTCCTTGCATTATTCTAAGCAAAAAAGTTCATTATAACCTATGTCCGAAAATCAACCGTTTCGGAGCAAAAAAAAATGCTAAACTTATTTCGTATTAATCATGAAATAAATTAATTTTGCACCTTAATAATTCATATGTCTAATAGAGTAAAATGTTTCAATACATCTATTTATTAATTAACTGTCTCACAACAAAATAATTTGCTTGCTTATTAAATACAATTTTCAGAAGAAAAACAAACAAAACAAAATCCCTCAAAAAACTGGCAACGTCGTACTCTGCCTGCACTGCATGTAACATCGCGTGTTGTGATTACTAATACATTTAACTGTAACTTTATGTGATTTACGGATGTTGTTTTTTTTCGTGCAATCGCATCGTTTCAAATAAGTGACTGATAATCGTAGAAATTGGTGGTGTGTATCGCCACGTACCGGTAAGTTATGTCATTTTTTTTTTTAAGTAAATCTACTGTACGCGTTATTAAATAAAACATATTAGCTACAAAAAATTGCGTTAAAATATTCAATAATTCAAGGCATATTTTCAAAAAAATATCATACAAACGTAAACAATTCGACGAGTTAGTTGCGGTCGTATCGCGGTTGCGTTGCAGCGTTGCCAAATGTTTCAGAAAATTTAATTATTTACGGCTCACTTTCCTCGAAAACGATTGATTTTCGGACATAAGTTATAATGAACTTTTTTGCTTAGAATAACGCAAGGAATCATCACCTCTTAAAGTTACGAATATTATTTCCCTAACACCCTGCATATTTTTTCGAATTAATTTTTAAGTTTCTTGCTATATCTTGGTATCATACTTCGTTTTAGACAAAAAGTAATAACATTACATGTCGAATAATTATTTTCATTAATTATATTTTTGACTTTTGCTTTTATTTTTTCCCTGTTTAAAAGGGTTTTTTAATCTTTAACGTCATGTATTTTGAATACCAGACTTTTTGTACTCGTGTTTATATGAGTTTTTCTGCCTGAACTTCGGTTAGGAATGCGCTCCTATTATTAAGTAAGATCCTATATTGATGCCCATTCATAGATACTTACTTGTACATGAAATATTTAGTAATCACATAGCAATTCGTAAAAATGAATTTGTAATAAGTATTCCTAAATAACTTATCTTCTGTTTTTTAATTTTGCTGTCCAGTACTTTTTTGAAAATGTTCCATTTGGATACCATGTAGATTTACTGTCCAAAGATAAAAACCATTTATGAAAAAATTACTTCATGCATCATCACTTCACAATGCCTATTTGTGCCATCTAACATAAGCTTCTCCATATTATTTTGTGCACAGTGAGATTATAGGTCATTAATACAATTCAGGCATCCTATTAATGTGACGATTCCGTTTGACTCTTAGAAAAATTCCTTGCATAAAAATAAGTCACACTAATTTCAACAGTGTCAAAAGAACTAGAAAAGGATCGATCTGTTTTTGGTAGATTTGTGCAACATTTTTCAGCGGATTTCGGTAGACATTGAACCAAAAAGCAAAAACTTGTCGGTGATTGAAAATTGAAGAGGGGATACTTTATTTGAAAATTCAAGGGGCTCAAATGCTATTTAAAAATTTCAAAGTGCTCTATTCTTGGGTTTTGCTGACACATCAAAAGTATACTATGTAAGAAATATGAGAAAAGTTCCGGTAGATTTCGCATTAAAATTGGTAGTTCGGTAGAATAGAACTAAAATCGGCAGACCTGGTAACACTGCTTCCGTGTGTCCCAGAAGTCGACGTCAAGCCGGAAAAGGAGGATAGCCCAAGTCATAATAGTTATCAGAAAAATATAAAAATTAAAGTCGTGTCCTTTGCAAATTATAGGCTTAAAAAGAATCGGAAACATGATATAAATTAGACTTTCTAGGCTAGAAATGATCTACCAACAGTCGCTTAAAACGATAATATGATTAGTATTTATTTATTTGTATGCATATTTTATTTCATTTCATCTGCTTTTCGTTATCGCTTGCTTACTAAACCCTGTTGTTGTGCCAGTGTTAGCCAATCCCCTTACAGGATGCTGGTGATGAACTCGAACGGGATGACAGCTACGATGACACCCGGCTCGCCGATGACGGCAGAGAAGGCTCAACAATTGGCCAATCAGAACAAACAGCAACAACAAAATCAACAGCAACAAGTTGTGTTGCAACAGCAACAGCAGCAGCAACAGGCGCAACAGCAAGCCCAACAGCAACAACAGATTCAACAACAGACTCAACAGACCATGCAGCAACAGTATCAGCTGCAGCAGCAAGGGCAACAGCAACAGCAGCATATACAACCTAAGCCGATGATGAGTAAGTTGCTATTTTCTAGTTTAGATTAAATTGTCACGGGATGCTGGTATGAGGCCATATGGATAGGGTTGTGTGGAAGGCACTTTATTTGCCTTGATAATATTAACACAAGAGTGATAGGGTAACGCTTAGCATAGTCGTTAACTTCTTGATAAGGAACACAATCATCGCCATTTTGCGTCATATGCTCTCATTCGCTGGTTGCATGATGTCACCTTCTAGCGAATGTCGGACTGTAATATTTGTTCCAGTGGCACGAAGACTAGGCATAGGAGGTCAAACTCATAGAGTGGTGCCTTCAGCCAATGTTGCCAGGTTCAAAAAATAAAAATCACTAGAAATTTTGCTAAAAAATCACGAGATTGAATAAAAAATCAATAGATTTTTTATCTATATATTTTTTAAATATAGAGGTAAATAATAAAACTTTTGTTTAATTTTTGAGGCTTCACTTTTAAAAACAAACAACAAAAACGTACATTGGAACAGACACTTAAAAGAAAACATAAATATAAACAGACAAAAGTAATAAAATATATTTGAAAGCTTAAAAACGTAACAATAAACATGAAATTGAATATAACTTTCTTAAAACTACATTAACCTAAGCGAATTTAAAAAAGAATGGCTTTCTTTCGAGTACATATTATTATGTAAAAAGATTTTTAAAACACTCTTAAAACAAACAACTAAAACGTAAATTTGAAAAGACTCTTAAAAGAAGCCACAAATACAAAACCATCAGACAAAAGTAACAAAACACCAAATATATTACAAAGCTTAAAAACGTAACAATAAAAACGAAATTAAATATAACTTATTTAAAACTACATTACATAAAACAAATTTAAAAAGAATGACATTCTTTCGAGTACATATTATTATTATGTTTTTTTATAATGTCCCTTGAAATTGGAAAATTAAAGCATCTTTTATCTTCGGCATTAATTAGTCTTTCGCTGTGCAAAATTCAACTTATTGTCGTAGCACACTATTTGGTTTTGTTTAAATTAATGTAAAAAAATAATCTTTCCACACTTGCGCTACTATGTGGCAATGTAAATAAAATTTGAACAAAATTGGCAAGCTCTGGGTATGCGAGACTATCATCCCCTTTTTTGATATTGCTTATGTTTTTCCAGAATTTAATTTCACCAAGCAAAAAATCACATTCAGAAAACTTCAACTGCTTAAATTCTTTAACTATATTTGGAAACCTACTAGCCAGAGGACCTATGCTTTCAGTTGATGATATATTTGATGGGTGCAGAAAAGTTATTAGTTTGAGAATCTATACTTCTCGGGAATTAAAGGGGAATCGCTTCCATATTTGGCTTACCGCTTCAATATAAAAATCCAGACATTTCAATCTGAAATTATGTTTGATATTTTCGGTAAAATACTTCTGGACCCAAGCAAATTTTTCGATATTGAACATAACTATATCCGTATTTCTTAAATATTCTGATTTTACAGCTTAATAAAAATTTACACGCCTCATTAATCCGGGGGTAAAGGTTATGTACCTTGAGGGTTTCAGTCTGGAATTCCAAATTCATATCCGTAAAAGTCGGTAATATAATATAATGTCACGGATTTTCGCTGCTAGTGAAGCTTCATCGAATGCTTCAATTCTAAAATAATTCTCGAGAGTTCTAGAGCATCATATTGCTCAATAATTCCACTTCAGCGGAAATCAGTGACAGCCACCTGGTCTGTGATGAATGCAATAATTTGTGGGGTTTGATGTTAAAAAATGTTCGAAATTCTTGAAATTCTGAAAATCTTTTAAAACCGCGATGCAATAATTGTATACGCTTCTTGCCAACTTTTGGACGCATTTCTATATTTTTTCATCGTGTTTAAATTGTTTTGTTTGCCACAAACCTTTCAAAAAATCACTATAAATATGACATTTAACAACAGTTTTCACTAAATCACTAAACTTGTTCAAAAATCACTAGATCTAGTGAAATTTCACTAGACCTGGTAACGTTGCCTTCAGCGATGAAGTAAGCTAGTACACTGCGCGGGAAATTAATTTCAGGTGCTGCGCTTAGGGCATCTCTCTCGTGTGTACACTGCGCAGAAAATAAATTTCTGGTTCTGTGCATGTGGCAAACAGGGTGTTTCTTAATGATATGCGAATATTTAAGGGTGTGAATCTACAGGCAAAATTAATGTTAGTTTGCTTTATAAACTATGGTCCAAAAATAATCACTACAAAAACTCGGGGTGTTGAAAAAAATGGAAATTAATTAATATTTTCAGAACCGCTTCAGATATTTCACTGATATTTAGTACGTAGTGAAAGTTTATAAAGTTGCATATTTTTCAATACAGCAATAATTTTTAGCTTTAACAGTGGCGTGCGTACGGGTATGGACCTCGATATTTTTTAAGAAAAAAATGGTACGCCAATGGTTTTTTGCCAAATAAAAATTATTTTTGAATTCCCCGTTCAATTTAAAACAAATGCTTTGTCTTGAGTTGCTTTCCTTCGATGTGCCATTTTTGAGTAAAAAAATAAAAACCGTTCTATTGTCTAACTTGCGAAATTATTATTAATTAAATTGGAAAAATTGAACAGATTGGAGGTAATGAACAACAACAACTGACAACATAAACATGACATTAAAACCAACGAAATGATTACAGAAATTGTTGAAAATGTCACCCTTCACTCAGTATGCATGCTTCCGCCCTCCTTTTCATGGAATTGCGCACTCGTTGAAATATCCCTGGAGTGTTTTTTATTCTCAAGCTGCAACTATTCTTTCTCTTAATTCATCTACAGTGTTAATGGGACTTGTGTACTCTAGTGTCTTAAGATAGCTCAACAAAAAGAAATCTAAACTGTTGAGGTCTGGGGACCTTGATGGCCATTCTTGAGGACCACCGCGGCCAATCAAACGATTTGGATAAACATTTTGTAAATAATTACGAACCGCTACACTGAAATGCGCTGGTGCACCATCGTGCATGGACCACATATTGTTTCTTATTACTAACGGAACTTCATCAAGCAGCAAAGGCAACTGTTGTTGAAGAAAATTGAGATAAGCCTGTCCGTCAAGTCGTCCCGGCAAGAAGAATGGGCCAATAAAGTGGCTGAATAATTCCTGTCCATAAGTTAACCGAAAAAAAGAATTGTATATATATATATATATATATATATAGTTGTCCAACGCGCGGGCTAAGATTGATGCAGTTCCCCCCCAGTATGCACTTGGCTCCCGACGAATAGGTAACAAGTAGCCCTCAGATTGAAAAAGCCACCTTCTTTGATATTTGGCAATTATCGTATCATTCCTAAGTTAATTGACAAGGCATTTAGAGAGGCCGCAACAAAAGAATTAGTATGAAGTCCCTTAATTTTTATTTAATATTAACACCGCCGCGACAATTAACGAATATTAGTTCTATTAGTTTGGAAACTAAATTCCTAGGCTACTTGACGATATTTGAAAAATGAAACTATTATGCAAATGTATTCATATGCCCTCAAAGCTCTTTAAACATGTTTCGTCTCTTTCTGCATAAGTGTATGTTGGTATATCTTTTTCTTATTTCAGTTCAAACAATTCCTGCCATCCAATCTCAACAGATTCAAATGGCAGGAGATAGGCCCGTTATGCCTGTGGTTTCGATGTCGACGCAACAGGTCAATCCCCAGCAAGTGCAACAAATGCAACAACAGAATCTCAATATACAACAGGGCATGCAACTTCCTGGCAACCTTGCTGTCACTCAGCAGCCTATGCAGATGAACATGCAGCAACTACAACAGGTAAGATATCACATTTCATTATACATATTTTTGATAGAATTTCATAATAGCCTATGTATTTATTGCATCATAAAGAATTAAATATCGAATTGATTTGAAGTACCGTTACAGATAGTCCCATTCGTGATACGGCATCGTCCGTTATTTACTGAAATTATTCAAAGTTAGTCCTCCGTGTTGGTCTGGCCGCTGTCCCAGGAAATTGCAGACCCACATTCTTTTACCAGTTATCGTTAAAATATTGTCATCATGCCCATTCTGTTTTTTTTGCTAGAAACGTTAGACTTTGCATGTGACAATGACAGTCTTGAGTATATCATGCAAATTGGTCCACATAGAGAAGTAATTAGTTCTGATATTCGACACTGCTATACGTATATTCTATGTATTACCAGCTGTGGTATTACTGCTACCATAAGTCTTACGTATCGGTCTCAAGGAGTCGCGGTCTCCTGTCACTGTCATGGCACAGAACTGCAACTTCAAACTCCTAATTGTCCAATGACAGGTAGAGTGGTATATACTGTTTTGCCGAACCGAAAAATACAAAATCGGTAGGTATTGTCGTTGAAATTCGGTAGCTTCAAGGACAAAATCGGTAGGAGGAAAAATCAGTGTTGTCGCAAGATCAGCGGTTGACCAAGGGTCTTTGCGTCACGCAGCGCCGTCTATGAAAGAAAAAACATATTTTTGTATTGCGCGCGCTCACACAACACCGGTTTATTGAGGGCATATTTTCATGGAAAATAGATATTAACGTGTTTATTACTACTTGTACAATATATCTGCACAATTAGTATTTTGGTCGCTCTTCAAACTCCTTTGTAACCATCCTGGAAACTCCTTTTCCCCTTCTTGTTTATAAGATTGTGATTATTTTGTATATATGCCTTTCCTGTAAACTTAAAACTTGATCAGCTGACATTCTACTCGTAATTTGATATTTAATTAAAAACAGACGGTTTGCTTATTGCTTGTCATAAATACATGCAAAGCGGAATAAGGCATGTGCGTACTTTATTATAGGCAATCCAAATCTACATTGCTCGTGTGCCCAACTGCTATATGTATGTCTGTTTTCGGTATTTCGTTTAAGTCGTTTATCGGTAGAAATACCGAAAAATCGGTAGATTCGGCACCACTGGTGGTATATATAAGCACAGATGCAACGAATACGGATTCGAATTCGTTGCCCAGATGTCATACATTCAGATGCGACAGTGACTGTCTTACCATGGCCCTCCGCAGGACTCTTACTAAGAGGGGAGTACAAATCTGCACCCCAAATTCTTTGAAAAGCAAAAAATAGCTCCGACAAAAGATATCGTGGGAATGTATGAACCCAAAAAACTTTTATGAAGACCGAAAGGAGGCAAATCTTCCCTGGACGGCCAAACCAAGATCTTCAGATGATATCAGAAGTTGTATGATTTAAGAAAAAATGTTTCTGGCATCAGTTATATGTATTAAAATATTAAACATCTTCCTGATGATCCGTTGAGGAAAATAGCACTGAAAGTCACGATACGTTTTTATTGGTAGATCTCCTTTTTGAATTGAATGTATCACGACAGTGGCGGGAATCATACCAAACTCAACTTAGCCGATTTTTGATATAATATTTTCATTATGTATTTTTGAATTTGTAGCTGCAACAAATGGCTGCACCAGGTACGATAATAGGTCAGATCCAATCAGCTCCTGCTGCTGCTCAACCTACTGCCACAACTCAACCTGCCACTCAAGCTGTTCAACCTCAAGTCACACCCACATCGCAAATTCAACCGATTCAGCAACAGCAACAACAACCAAATACCGTGGCTGTAGCGGCACAGCAGGTAGATATTTACAAATTATTGAAAAATAAGATGTGTTTTGACCACTACCAGAGGCTTCTCAAACTTATTCAGGTATATTAGTACGAATTACAAAGTATTCTGAGTCGTCACCGGTCGGGCGTTGAGTGGCGTAGACTTCATTGCAGCTTGATTGATGTTATTTGCCTAAAATCTACTGAAGTCTAATTTGAGTAATGATTATACTGTAGGATATTGCTTTCGTTTTGTTCTGTTTATAAAATATATTAAGGAAATCAAGAGCACTCTTAATAAAAATTAATACCCCGCCATTGTCAACTATGCGATTGGTTATCGAGGTCAGCACGGGATTCCGGCAACGCAGCGGCGAAATGGTGATGACTCTGAACAGTTTTTAAATTGAAATATCATAAACCGTAATAATGTTTCAGGTACAACCTTTACCTGCGACAATACCAACCGTAACGACAACCAAGGAAGATCAACCAGCCACCCCAGCACAACCTGAATCTGCTGATCACTCGACCGCCAGTCAATCGACTAATCAAGGACAAACGCAACATCAGCAGTCTCAACCAATTACAATGGGCGTACCTCCAAACACCCATCAAATGGATAACAAAGACGCAGCAGGTCAAGGACAGACGCCTACACCTGAAGGTGAGTTCATTTTTTTCTGGAGTCTACAGAAAAAATAATAGATTTGACATCTATGCCTGGTAACCGAATGCACAGCACGCATGTACTAGAGAATCAATCAGAAACGTAGTATAGGAACAAACCTTCTGTTGACTTGTCAACTATGTAGAGCTTGGTGGACCAGTTACCTCGTAAAAAAGGTTGGTACCGCTGACCGGAAATGTAATCATAAGTCAATACTTGTCAATTTGTAGAACTGGAATGTTTGAAACCAAACGTATTCCTCTATTTTAAAATAAGTTCTAGAGACATTTTGTTGTGTTTGTGTGTTAACTATTATGTGGCCAGTATGTTTTTTACGTAGACTAACTACCAACAAATTAGAACGGATATTGGGCGAAATCGAGAGTGAGTAGATACAAACATACTGTACATGCTGTAATGATCATAACCATGGAAATATTTAGTAAATAAACGCTAAAATCAGCTGATATTTTAAATAGGCCTCTCGTTGTCTTTCATGGTTTTTTCCGTCTTCAGTTTGTGCATGAATGAGATTTTGGTGCTGTAGTCTGATATTGAAGCAGATGGAGTTGAGATTCCGTAATAATTTGAGAAACTCAAAGTGTTGCTGTGATCGCTCAGCAAAACATAACATGTGTACGTTGCATATTATAGTATAGTTATATTTGAAAATCTTTCTAAAGCTTGGTTAACATTTTCTTCCTTCTTGATGACTATTAAAACTAATTCAGTTAACCTATAATGCTTTGTGAACGCTTCCTGCGATGATTAAGACTTTTACCTACTTATTTCTTGACATTGTTGATTGTTCACACAGTTAATTTTTTTTTAAAATATAGGTCTGAAAATCACTTTAACGCAAATCGCAAATATTTTGTTTCTTGCTATAAAATGAATGATTTGGGTGCAACATGGATGAAAATATCATTTTTTAAGGACGCCTATACTTAATTATTTTATAGTACTTCGAATTTGCATTATGGGTGGTAATCCTGTGGTATAGAACACTATTATATAAGCTGTTTTTTACGCAGAAACATGCTCCAAATTATAACATATAACATATAATACTGTGGCAATATTCATAGCAGTAATGCAATTTTGTATTATTTTTATGATGGAAATAATGATTAAGTAATCGGTTCTTTCATTTAAGACAAATATGTTGCCGAATTGCTCACGTGCGCCGCTAGTTCATTGATTGGGCATTTACTGTTAAGGGATTTTTTTCATTTTCAGCGAATACTGGGAAAACTACCTATAAAAAGAAGTCATTTACCTTTGATATTTTCCCTCCACTCAAGTTGCAGCGCGCGTGAACGCGCCTCTAATGCATTCTCCATTGTTTAGGCCTATACTGTTCGGGATTTTATCTAATTTTCAATAAAATGCTAGTACTTAGTAACCTCAGAGACTTTTAATTTTGTAAATAACCTCGTTTTTTTAACATATTTACCCCCCGTAAAAACGTACAATTTAGTAATAATGCAGAGTATTCTCACTAGGAATAAAAATATAAATTGAAGCAAAATCTTTTTTTAGAATAATATTAAAAACTAATTTATATTAGAAACGGTTGACTTTTCGACACAATGTTATATGATCAGATCTGTAGATAATGATCTCATCTACAATGATCTTAAATATTTCCCACGACTTTCCCTTAGCTGCGTTGGCGTTAGATGCCACAAGAGAAGATCGCGAAGAACGAACGTATTTTTTAATACGATACTAACACATTCTTGGGAGTTATAGATGGGAATATACGCCTGGCATTCCGATTCAGTTTCATATAGCAGCTACATTCCTAATTTTCAATTTGTTGCAGCATCAACAACAGTACCTGAATCCAAGGAAGCGTCTCAGTCGACAGATCAGAAACAACCAATGGTAAACAGCGTGGAGCCCTCGGTAGTTCAACCGGCTCCAATTCCTGGTACCGTTCCGTCCCAACCGACTACGAACACCCAGGAGAATGGGTTGCCTGCTGCAGTTACTGCTGAAGAGGTATTGATCATTATTTTATAAGCTATTCATGGATTTTTTATTCGTTGTTCTGTGAGTTAAACTTACAGTTTTCACACACTTCGTTTCTAATTTGAAGATTTTGTAGCTTGTGAGATGCTTACCTACATACCCAGTTCCATTTATTATCATTTTGCTATCATATACCCAGCTAGCACAAGCACGTGAAAATTACGGTACAAACTGGCAATGAAATGACGAGAAATGACGAGTTGAATGATGAAGTAACGTGAAAATGACCTAATGTCAGTTGCCGATGGCAGACGTCAATAATACGTCTCTTACTTCTCTTACTGGACATGAAAAAGACGTCTATTATTTATAATGAATAACCAGCTTTAGCTTCTTCAAAAAATCATATATTTTGTTACCATTAAAATTACTCAGACGGAGTACCATATAGATTGTGACACTGGCTCGGTGCTGCTCAACTAGCGACGAAAGACGTTTGGGGTTGCAACAGTACGCTAATGTTGCAATTCTTATGCCCTATGAGCTAACGGGTAACACACGCGGTATTATACACAATATGCTAGAGAATTGAAGTCACTTTAGCCTATAAATGGACTATTTTTTCTATAGTTATTGGAATACTCAGTACGTGGAATTTTTAGCAACGAGACGCGGGGGTACCGGGAAGGAATAACGTCGATTACAGCGATCCGCGATTGTTGTTTACTGTCAATTGTCACTCGATACAGAGTTTCAGATTAAACGTAAAAACATATTCAAGTATGCGTAACATAATGAATAGCTAAAATGTGTTGTGTATTTTTTTGTTTTTTGTTTGTCCTATGTAAATATTTTGTCGAATAAGGTCATAGTTTGTTCATTTTGCACACAAAATCATTAAATATATATCGGAACGCCGGAAATATGCGTCATTACGACGTCGATATTTGAAACAATCACATCAGTTGACAAGTTATCACCAAATTTCGACGTCATTCTGACGTGTATATATATACTGCAATGGCTCTTGTTGTGGACTTCGTGTGTGATTTTTTCCCTCTCCATCTTCGTTTCCTCAGGTTACACCCGTATCCAGATGTATGGGCATGTGTATCTACTCTTGTAGTTGCATATGTGCATTCATTTCGGGCCTGATGAAGCCAACCAGCAGAAATACGTATCGCTCGGGTTACCTATCCTATTTTCTGCTCGAATCCACATTCCTTCTTTTTGCTGAATTTGCCCTTTATTTTCTCATTTTTTGTTATATATATAGAAATATTTTGAAAATGCTATTCCATTTCCTATGATTAAATCAAAACATAAATGATGTATCATTTTATTCTTGAAACATCATAGTTTACAGATATTGTTTCAGGTAAAGGAAAGATGTCCGCCAAAGGCTATGGTCAAGCCTCAAGTGCTGACGCACGTGATTGAGGACTTTGTCATCCAGGAATCTTCAGAACCCTTCCCGGTCACCAGAAACTGTCTACTGGGCGATATCAAATCGGCGCAATCTTCCAATGATAAGGAGACAGACGAACCTCCACGTAAGTTACCTTGCACTTTCTTCTAATTCACATAATTAAAATACGGTTTCGTTTCAAACAGAAGAGACTGAATTAATTTACTGTCAGATTTATTCAACCGAGATCGCTTTTAGATTTGACTAACTAGTATCCCAAATTCCAGGCAAGATTTGAACACATTTTTCACGTTTTCCTTTTGTGAACATTTTTAATGACTATGTGGCAATTGAATTGTTGCTGTTATCCATATCAATATTACCCAATTTAGATAAAAAGAAGCTCTGCAATACCCGTGGATTGATGGAGTGCATCCGACCCAGTATCAAAGCCACATTCATGCTAAATGGTGATCTACAAAAGAGCGTACGAGATCTGTAAATTAAGTGATGAGACTGATTTTTTTATTCAAATATAATTACAATTTTATATCGTCACCATCATCAAAATAACTTCCTTCTGAAGTCACACAGCACTGGAAACTATCCTATACTTGCTTTTCATCAGCTCTTTGTCGCGCGCTGGGTATAGCCTATAAAATTCATCGTATTCATTTGCTCATTTGCAAGCGTCACAGCACACTTGTCAGTATCCCTACTTTTCGTTTTAATTATTACTTTGTACAAAGTGTTTCCATAAATACACCCCTTGAAATGTTTAAAAATTAATATATTTGAAATCAATATTCCTATATCACATATACCAACACGTTTTCCTCTAGTAATATTTATTGATCTGTAATGTGCTCACTGTTCATTTGCAGGGAAGAAGAGAGCGTCTTCCCCGACCAGCGGTAAAGGTGACATGGCCAAATGCGAAGCTTGCGGAGTTGTTGATCTTAAAGCTAAGTTTAAGAAGAACAAAAGGTTTTGCTCTATCGCCTGCTCAAAAAGGTAAGAAATATATTACATATTCTAGAGATGCATACTTGACTTTTGACAATTGCTGATAAAATCGGGAAGCTACTTAATGTTGATGTCATAGGCGCGACATTAAACTGGTGCATGTACAAAAAGAAAACGTGGTCTTCGGTTAAGTAGCGTAAAATACATAAAATAAAAACAAAAAGTTCATAGCTATAAAGTTTGCTCCCTATTCCACCATCATAAACTTTGAAGCTATCCACTGACGTAGCATTAATCACACTTTCTGGTAAATTGGGTCAACAAATTCAAGAATTGGCCTTAAAAATGTAAATGAAGGCCCAAGTTTTGACATCAGATCCTTTGGAAGATCTCTCTGGCTTGTATAGAAGCTTCTTGACTTTGGTTGTTACGAGGTGTGTATATGACCAGGATAAACGATCGTTGACTTCAACGCGAAGATCAGTATGACTAGAGTCTGCTTCGATCAGAGATCTTGTATAAGAGCCGCGGATTGGTTTTCCCGAGGTGTAAGACAGAATACTTCGATAAGTTCAAGGGTAGATCCCAACTGTCTGACCATTGACGAACAATGTCAAGATCTCACTAAAGCAGAGCAAAGTTTGCAACGGTGTTGTAAATCTTCGTGTCATCGGCATAAGCAGAACATATGAAGGACAACAAAGCAGGCAGGTCATAAGCACCCAAGACTGAGCCTTGGGGAACTCCGCTTGCCACACGATGGGGGGAAGACTGGCTATCACTGACGCGCACAGAAAAAGTTTTCTCGGTGACGAAAGTCTCGAACAACTCGCCTCTAATTTCAAGACGCTCCAGCTTGAGAAGAAGTCATCTGTATGGAACGCGATCAAAAGCCCTAGAGAAGTCTAGACGTATTAAGTAAGCTAGAGTGTTGGTGTCCAGAAACTGTGTCCAATTATTGAGACAGCGTAGAAGGTTGGTGATTATCGATCGTCCGGAGATAAATCCTTGGTTGTTAGGGATGAGATCATTTTCGAAAGCAAATATTAAGAGCTTATCTACTATGATTCGTTCAGCTATTATAGCGGCGATACTCACGAGACTTACTGGATGATAATTTTTAGCGGAGCATTTGTCACCCTTTTTGAATATAGGGCTTACAGAAGCACTTAGCCAGCATGAGATATATGCTGTCATCAGAAGTTGGTTGATCTCCCAACTCTTCTTCTGGAACAAATGGTTTCCAAGACGCTATTTTTTATGCGCTACCATTAATAACAGACCCTATGCTAAATTTTACAAAACATCACACGATGTACCGTTAGCACATCAATGACGCCAAGAGGGCCGACAGCCAACACATGGATCGTCTAAACGTAGTAAACGATCAGAATAATTTGTTGTCATTGTTTCACGTCATTATTGCAGTCACGGTGCCAATATACTTGCTCCAACAAACCTACAGGAGGCAATTCATCGGGTTTTGAACTCTGTCGTACCATATACTTACATATGATTTCATAGTTTTGCCAGCCCTGGTTTTTTTATTGGCTTCTATCAGAATTATAAATACTATATCAGCACAAACTAACTTTTAGGTTGTATACTTATGGACTGGATTGGTAGAAGAAGAATTTTATTCATTTATGATATTTTATTACAGTGGCAAGTACAAGGATGATAAGAAGAAGTGGGATAAAAACGAAAGCATGGAAGTTGATACTGAATCTGGAACTTCAGGAGCGGAAAGTAGCTTGAGCCCTACGACTGGAGATGACGATACACCGAAGGTGGATCCCATGAAATGGAGTGTAAGTATCAAAACTATTTTATGGCACTGACTATTTCCTCGTCTCAATTTCTACCAATCACAAATGGTTTCTACATGGAGAAATTGTATGACAGCACCTGCCAGCAGTTTTTTCGAGTTTACCCGCGGCAAAACTTGGTAGCTGTAGTCACCAAAAATTACCATACCTTTGATAACAAGTAATTATGGTCTCCTAGGACACCAGAAAACAAGCAATTTTTTCTGATTTTACTGTCAATAAATTTTGTAATATTATTTTTAAACAGTGTTGTTTTGTAAGCTATGTGTGTGCAGAATAATCTGTTACTCATGAAATAATCTTGTCAAATATCATCTTGGTATCTAATTTTTTCCTGTGAAAAAAATCGAAAAAACAAGCAAAGTATTATTTTTTAACAAAAAACAATGCACGCAGGTGCATATTACTTGGCAACGTGTTTTTTTTCTGAATAATTAGATGCCCTTATGATATTACTTATGAGTACAATATATCGTTATAAGGAAATTAAAAACCGGACTTTTGAAATGTCGGTTAATTTTTGAGGTCAACACTGAGATATTTTTCGTAAATCGTTGAAAACTTTAACATTTTGGTCCGGTAGGTTTGTGGTGGGTTCAAAGGTGTCGAATGTGATAAAATCACGGAGTTGTCAACCTTCCTAAAAAAATGCTTCACAAAGGAGATAGAAGATCATTTTCCAATTTATGTTCAGCTTTTTTAAAAGTCTCTGAGATTTTTTTCTCTCGTGAAGTAATATGTGGAAATTTCAATATGATAGAAATCATGACTATAAACTTTACTAAAGTCAATATAATTCAAAATTCAACCATGGACAAGTGTCAGATTTTGAAGTATGTTTCATATGTGAAGTAAGGTGCTACAAGAACACGCGTATTCACCACCACCACCATCAGCATCTAAAAATAATGGTTTGAGGTAAAACAAAGAGATTATGAAATTTCGGAGACAATGTACTATAAATAAATATCATTTTTTTATATTCCACGAAAACTGGCGAGGAAGTATTGTAATTGCGAAAATGATATATGTCTTTTTAATGGTGTATGACATGTACTCGTACATCACAGAAAACATGTGACTCATTTCCGTCGGTCTGTTTCTTTCTGTGTCCCCAGACTGGGCCTCTATAATTAAAAAAAATGACAAATATTTGCTACTATGCCAGTGATGAAAGAGCTATGCATGTTTGGAAAATCGATCCAGTGGCATCGGTGCTACAGACAAAAAATGAAAAAAACAGAAATCGCTCATACTTTTTTCTGACGATTCAGAGACGCATTTTTGGAATCTATGGAGCATAAGTTAAATCGTTAAATCAACATACCTATTAGACATATTATATATTTTACAGTAGATTTCATGACATATTTGCCCTTAAGAATGACAGAAATGCTTATTTTGGATACCCGCGTTGGTCGTATTCAACTTTTCAACTAAGAAGGGCTAACTTTTACCTAACACAATCTTATATGAACTGATGTCTTAAACTAGTGTATTTTACTTAATCTATTACAAGACAAGAATTTACAAAGGCTTTAAACCAACACCTTGAGCTACATGGGCTCACAAAATGAAATGAACCTCTGTATGTCCGTGTTGCAGAGTCAGCCTACTTGATGCCAGTTTTTGTTTACAGGTTCAAGAGGTATTCACCTTCATCAAAAATCTAGGTGAAGGTTGTTCCGACTACGCTGAAGATTTCCTGATACAAGAAATTGACGGGCAGGCATTGATGTTGCTGAAAGAGGACCATTTGATGACAGCTATGGCCATGAAACTGGGACCAGCCCTGAAGATTGTTGCCAAAATAGACGATATGAGAGTGAACAAAGATCCACCGAAGCAAAGTTAAAATAATCGAATGGTGTGAGTTTCATTATTGTAAAAAGTTTGTAAATAGATTATTTATATCCATCGTATTCCTAAGGTTTTGTTGAACGGTAATCTTTAATAAGTCATAGGAGTGTACGTTATTTTGAAGAGACAATTCAAATTTATTAATGAAATGATTTGTTTCAATTGTACTTGTGATCATTCAAATCCCTAGTTAATGGTGTGCTATTTCATGCTCAAAGTGGGTGTTTGTAAAAATGTAACCCATTAACCGATAACGATTTTCAGCAGCCTCAATTTTGTCATATTTCTTATAGTATAATGCAGCTCCCCTCTACTTAATTTTAGAATTTGTTCGTAAGCTGGAATTCGGGATAATGAATATGAATGAATATTTTAACTAAAATCAACATTTAAAGATAGCGACTGGACACCATCTTTGGACATTTTTTATATGGAATGTGGGTCATTTCGAGGCTTTGTATTAGTACTTCGTAACCCCCCACTATTAATTCACTATCTTCCAAAATAACAGTCTGACAAAGTAGAGCTTTTTTGTATATTGAATCACTTATAAACTCAACAACTCAAAACACTATGGTATACCAGTCTTCTTTTAGAAGGGTCTCTATAAATGTGCAATAAAATATGAAACATTCCGTAAAAAATGATGTATTTGACAACCTTTTTGAATAAAACATCCCATATTTTATTACATGTTCGGATGAACTCTTCCAAGAAAAAAAGATATAACATACATAATATGGCATTTTCATAATTAATTGTTGAGATTTTGAAAGCCTGCCAATCCAGCATTTTGGAAGACATTAAATTCATAGACTAGGTTTAAAAAGGAGCTTGAAAATGAGATATCACATGAGTCGATTCAAAAAAAAAATTCCATGATGGTCCCAGTCGCCATCTTGAAATTTTCGAATGCCACCTTTAAGCTAAAATAAAATCCATCCGAATTTCAGCTTGCGAACTTGACTCGTTCAAAAAATAAGTAGGAGGGAGGAACTGATTTGAAAAGCACTGAGACTGAGTTATAACAGTGTGACCGCAATGTCTCTTGTGGTTTCAGGGCTGTAAAATGTCAATATTTCAAAATTCCACTGCCGAAATTAGGAAAAAATATTATTAATTTTTCATTGCATTTGAGAAGTCACTCGACTAGGCACTTCATGCAGGGTGGTAAAATATATTTTGCGCTAAACAGATGTTTGTGATACCTTTGTGAGTAGTAGAACTGTCAGCGTCAAGTAAATTGAATGACGTGATCGTTTTTGAAAGCTTGGCTCATTTTACTTTGCCAAAGTAAGGGCTCCATTTTTAATGGTGGATTCATGCAGACATCCTAAACGTAAACTAATATATTTTTCACGATAAGTCACCACATTTTCGCGTCTATTCAGGCAAACAGCTGATCGGGAAATGACGTCTTTGTATTAAAATTTTAACTGATGGCAATAATGAATCGAGTGAAACTCAGGACCATATTTAGAACTCTTTAACATCAAACATTAATCAGACTCTTTTCACATGCCTGACTAGAAATATACCTATGACCATCATCAGCCATACTGCTTGGATAGTTTGTTTTTGTGTGTCGGAGCTTATATAAACAAAATCGTTGTCAGAAAGTATGAATCTGTAGCGCACAAAAAATAATAAAATACGTCTTTGTCCAGGGATTTGACGTAGACAGATCCGTTAGTGTTGTGTGTCAAGACACACACGGTATGGGGTCATTTGAATGGCACTAAATGATCAGATGATATTTGTTGACATGTTTTGACGTAGTATTGTCAAAAATAGATTACAGGCAACGTCGCCTTCATGGCCCCTATACACCAGGAGAACCGGCTTAATGAATAAAGAGAGCGCGGTGATCGGAGTGTGTACCACCTACACTCCATTTCACGAGTATCCTTCACGTTTTGACGTCTACTGAGGTGAACAGCTGATCAGCTAGTGACATTTTTGTGTTAGTCTGCAACGTGGGCTATAATGAATTGGGTGTAAATCTGTAACGTTTTCTTTTTTGTAGGCAAATGAACTTTTCTGAATAAAAGAGCTTTTAGCAAATACAAAGTGAAAAAACAAAAAATATGGCTCTGTCTAACTGGGATTGACGAATCCGTCAGAATTATGTGTCCTTTGCCGATATGGGGAATTTTGAAATATTACTAGATAACCTCATTCTACCGTGATGAATGCTCGTGAAATAGTGAAACTTTTAATTTTTTAATTGATTTGATACTAAACTGAATCGTGAAGTCTCCCCCGTAGGACTCTAAAAGCTAATCAGCTAGGTGTGAATTTACCGGTTTCACGAATAACTTCTGTTATTTTTTCAAAACACCTGGAACAAATTCTTGCATATTTTGATTATTCTTCGATCAATGTACCCCATCTTCAATGACTTAATCCATAAATTTTGTCGGTCTTTGAACAAAAGTGAGTTTTCACCAGCACTTTGGAGAATAGCAGGAATTCCAGAAAATGATTATGTTACTCTTGCCGCTCGTTAAACAATTCATCGCCGCACAAAGTGAGGCTTTTTCACAGTTTTTCACAAATAACTAAATAAGACGAACAATTTCCGACAGATTTCCGACTACTTGCAACAAGAAATAAGCAAAAATTGTTGAGTTAATTTACAATGAATTAAATGGGAATCCGTTTGGGTTTATATGGCGGACCTGTTAAAGCACATCATTGCCAGATGCTTAAAAAAACAACAAATCACAGTTAATTAATAAAAGGGGTGGGATTAGTTCAAAGAGCGTGGGGGGTGCCCTCTATTCGCAAACCGTGTGAAATGGCCCAGAACATTACATCCCAAAAAAATTGGGAGAAAATCCCCTACCATGGCAAGCCGGTCAAAGCTCCACTGGTACTCCAGCCGTCATGTTTCGGAGACGTTTATACAACACGAACAGCATTGTTGTAGCTTCTCCAGGTATATAGCGCTGCATGATCGCTTATATTAATGTGTGATGATCTGTTGTTTTCTTATAAATAAGCTCCACTCTCTGAGAACTATGGCCTTTTTCACGAATATCCATTACGTTTTGACGTCTACTGAGGTAAGTAGCTGATTAGCAAGTGACATCTTTGTATTAAACTATGTAATGTTGGCAATAATGAATTATGTGTGACTTGGGTAAACAAAATAAGACTGTTTATAGATCTAGCGTTGACAGATCCGTCAGGATTTTGCGCCACTTATCGATATGAGGTATTTAGAAATGTTACTAGATAATCAGCTGTTATTTTCTGTCACATTTGACATAATGGATACTCGTGAAAAACACAATATACCTAACCTACAATTTGACAACAGATGACACAGATCTCAATTATACCAAAGCTGTCACACTAGCTGTTTGAGACCCACCACACTATACACTATATCACATACATACAAACTGGTAGGCATGACATTTTTTGAAAATCACTGTATGGAAATTTATTGTTTGCCTTTATTTTATTCATATCACAGGATTTAACTACAAATAAAAAATGTATGTGACACAAATTGTTGCATGAAACAGAGGGCTACAAAATTCACTTAATTACCTCTAACATTTGGAATTTTGAAGGTTGTCAATTATACATGTCAGAAACTAAACCAACCATCTCCATTTTCCACAATATAGAGCATTCTGTTAGCTCACTAAGATTGCGCTAGTATCATATTATGTGTCACATACTATGTTATGGATTCTACCTCAAGTTACAAGATCTTGTTTAATATAAATTGCATGAATTCGCCATAAGTCTACTTCCATTTGCTATAATCTCCCCTGACGGGAGAAACATGTGGCACCATTTAATCCAAAAGGCAATCACTGCTTGATATATTTCTTTAATTATCTTTTTTTTTTATATTTCTCAAACTACGCTTTTATTTCAGTCATAATAAAGTATTTCGAGTTAGATGTATTTATGACTTCATTTTTGAGAAAATACAATTTCGTAATTCCAGGAAGATCTGTATAAATTATTGAATTCATCGTGTAAATAAATGTATATTATTAGATTTTATGCAACCAGTTAGATTTATTTCTGAAGATGCGTATTTAGTTATGAACTTATTGCGAAAATATGTTCTGATGTAATCGAATTTATAACATGAAAATCGATATACCATATCGAAAGTTATTTGTAACAGTTATATATTAGTCTATTTGTGCAATGTTCAACTTTTATAAAAATTAATGTAATATTCTTGTAGATATTTTGATGATATTGTTACTTGTACTGCCACTAATGATAATAAATTAATTTGTACTTTTCCGTCTTTTTTTATTTTTTTTTTTACTGTCTTCAAGAAAGAACATCGACCCATTCTTGTGGAAAACAATTACCGAGTGCACGTAAATTCAGAAAAAATCTATCTTACAGAAAACGTCAACAATGAGGGTACCTTTTTTACACCGAAGCAGCCGCGCAGGCAGAAGCCTAAATGCCAGGATACCGCGGCTGGTATGAGAACCCCAAATAAATTTTGTTAATCCGATTTTTGAACTGTCTAAAGTTAGTAAAAGTGGGAAAAGCCACCTCTTCAATACAACGGCAGGAATCAAGTCCGGACCCGAAGCTTTGTTGTCGAGCAACAAGAGCACCCATCATACGATCTTATGCCTGAATGTTACTTCCTGCATAGTGTAGGGAATCCATAGCTCCTGACACGTAAGTGATGGAAGGCTACTCTGTGATAAATTACTTTCAATCTGCTTGGCCAACGACCAGAAAGACCGACTGTCATTGCGCTGCGGCCTTACCCTGTGCCTAACTTTTATATCGAGCTGATCTTTGACATTGCGGACGGCTTCGTTATATTTGTTTCTGCACTCTACGTGGGCTTGTCACTTCTCCACAGTTTTGTAAGAAGGTTCTTTGAGCCTTTATCTTCTGCTGACGAGCTGTGCTGCAGGATTTATTGAACTAGCCATTCTACAATGGTTTAGGTAGTTTCACTGTATGAGGGCGGATGTATTCCTCTATCCCAACGTGGATAATAATTTCGATTATCGATGAACAGACAGCCGACGCGTCAGCGAAACAAAGGTGGGGAAGTCATTGAGCCCCTCCCAGATGGCATGTCCGTAATGCCAAATATTGCGGTCTGGTCAAATTTCTGCTGCCACAGCGGGTTCTGACCGAAACGTAACGTACACAACACCGTGGTCTGAGTTGCCCAGGAGAGACAGGACAGCAGGCTACTGGCGTGTGACAAAACCAGCTGGCTCAGTCCTTGGGTAATGCGAACGCTTCAACTGCACGAACTGCTGCATCGGTCTTGTTTGAATCCAACCAGAGCTAATTATGGACATTGAAATCACCGAGGAGAACTACCTCTGAAGCGGGGTGATTGATGAGGTATTCAGGTAAGTCATCCCAGTTATTTTCCAAGGGAGAGCGATAAAGACAGCAAATAAATTTCGGGGATGTTTTGGAGTTGAGGCGAACCCACAGAATGTCTTTCCGGTCTGATTTCAAAGAAACGTCTCTGGAGTAGGAGGGTCTGCTGCGGACAAAAGCCACAACTCCCCCGTTTTTTCTCAGAGTGGAGTACACCTCGTAAATTGGGAAGCTAAAATGGGTATCGTTGCGAATCTGAGATTTTTGTATCCACGAAGAAAAAAAAGCCTGGCGGGAAGATTAGATTGCAGGTAGTGATGAAAAGGATCAATGTTGCTGTTAATCCCGCAGATGTTCGTGAAACAAATTTCATAATCGAAATTGTTCGCTCGAGTGAATAGTCCTAAAAGTAGCTCGTTGGCTGACTTGTACCGCCACCCAGCAATCGGTACCGAGATATCCCTTAACGCGTGTACAATCACTTGAACGGGACGAAATTGTATAATGAATACAACTTCCGGAACAAGCATTTGCGACGGCCCCGCTTAGTAGGGTAGAGGAAAGGGCAAATGGGCATCATTCTCCTACAGTATCGAAAATATCATCCCTCAACTTTCCTTGTATTTTTATATTCTTAGAAAGGCTCAACGACAGAAAAAAACCCATAAGCTGCAGACATAGTCTAAAGAAGCCTAAATGTCAGAACGGCACGGCTGCTATGAGGATCCCAAAGAGACTTTGTAAATCCGATTTTTGAAGTGCCTAATGTTAGTAGAACTGGGGAAAGCCTCCTCTTGTAGATTATTCCACAATCTCGTCACGATTAGGATGGCAGGCAGAAGTTGGGCGGGTGCCTGTCTGACGAGATGTGTTCGTGCCAGTCCTCGATGATCTGGACTCCGACCAGCCGAAATGAACGGCTCTTTGGCAGACCTTGGCCATCCATCGAAACTGGTTGAGCGCTAGAACGCTTTATGTTCGTCAAGCTACAGTACTGTGTTCTGGAAGCATTGAACTGTACAAGATTGTTGCGTCCCCAAGCAGTGATAGCCTCCAGGTCTCTTGTCAGAGAGGGAGTCCTCGCTAGTCTTCTTTTTTCCAGCTCAGCGGCAGAGATCGGCTTGTCACTCTGAATTGTAGACTGCTGTCATCAGCAAAGATGCGGATTGAATTGATCGTACAGGAAATGAGGTCGTTGATATGTAAGAAGAACAGTGTCGGAGCCAAGACCGATCTCTTGGGAACACCCGCGTCGAGGAAGAAGAGGAGAATAAACTCGGCCACCCATCAGTAAAGCTTCTCATGGAAGGTAAAGGATGGAAGTTTGCATAAGAGAGCAGCGTGCCACAGCTGATCGAACGCTTTCGTGGTATCAAGAGCAATGACATGAGCCTCACCATAAAACTGGATGACCCACACAATTATGTGCCGTAAGCTAGGAGATCCCCTGTTGGTCGCTGGTGCAGGAGACCATACTGCCTGTCTGTTGTCGCTAGATAGTATCGGTAGTTTTTTACATATCTCAGTAACATCCTGTTTGTAACGAGCAGCAATGCAGAAAAATATTTATTTGGTTCTCACCACTGGTCGTTTAGCTGATTTTTGGGAGCCTGTTTTAGATATAACACAATAATAAATGTATCTTGAATGAGAACTAAAAAGCAGCTCAATTTTGAATTAATGTTGGCATGCACAGTAGCGGGATATAAATATGTGCAAGAAAAATAGAGTTCATAGACTTCGTATCCTCTTTAAATCCAGATTAATATTTTTCAAATGATGTTAATACAGAGAAAAATTCGCTGAAAAATCAACGCTAAATAAAGGAAATACAGGACGTTAATGAAGTACATACATGGCCAGACTCAAAGCAGGTGATTTTTTTTTTTAATAATAATATTTATTTACTCAATGTACAAAGATAACAAACAATATGAGTAAATAAATATAAAATCAAAACAGGCCCAATAGAAGGCATCGCCTGTACATGGACCAATAATTTAAGTTGAAACTGTAGAATGCAAATGACAAAAAAGGACAAAAATTAGCTACAATAGATTATGTATTTAGTTGATGTTCGTATTCATGAGTTTATGAATTTCAGTTCTAGATATAGAATGTAGACTTTTTTAAATTTCTTTTGAAACAATTTCCGAAACGTAAATCTTTTAAGTCTTTAGGTATAATTTCATAAAATTTAGGCGCTAAATAGAGATATGATCGCTGCATTATAGATTTATGCGGTTGAGGAACTACTGTGCCACGAATTTTGTATCTGGTATAATGATTATGTTTAATTTTTTGGTCGGTGTTTACAAATTTATGGTAGTGAGTGATACTGTGTAAGAAATAAAGCTGTCTTATATCATACATTCGAACATCTGCATATAATTTTTCAGTGGGATAAAGTTTCGGTTTTTTAAATATCATTTTTAGAATACTTTTTTGAAAATCATCTAAATTATAGATATGTGAGGAACATGCAGCTCCCCATGCTAATATACCATATGTGAGATGAGGCTCAATCAGTGCATGGTATAATGTTTGAAGATATTTTTCTGTCAATATATTCCCAAGGTATTTAATTTTGTAGGATACAAATCTAACTTTCTTTAAAATATAATTGACATGGATGTCCCATCGTAAGTGAGGATCCAAGACCACTCCAAGGTATTTTATGTTGGGCACTCTATTAATTTGCATTTTTTGATCATTAATATTGAAGGAGAAATTTGTGTAATTTGGCAGATGTCTAGCATAAGATCCAAATGGTAAAAAATGTGTTTTAGAGTAGTTAATGCTTAATTTTCTACTGTTAAACCACCGAATAATTTTGATAAAATCATTTTCAATTACATTTTTCAGATCAGACCAGTCAGTGCCTTCATATAATATTGCAGTATCATCTGCAAAACTAGTTATTTTGCCAAAACAATTAATTTGGAAAATATCATTTAAATATATATTGAATAACAGCGGACCTAAGACAGTTCCTTGTGGGACACCACACTTAATATACATTTCTTTACTAAATGATCCTGATATCTGCACAGATTGTGGGCGATTTGACAAATAACTTTCGATCAGTGAGTACGCGTTTCCTCTGAAACCAATTCTCTCCAATGCTTCTAATAATAATTTGTGATTAACTGTGTCGAAAGCTTTCTTTAAATCAACAAAAATGCAGATTGAAGGGATTCTGTTATCAATATTTTGATATATTTGATTTACAATTTTAGTTATTGCGTCCGATGTAGTCTTCCCTTCTGTAAATCCATATTGATTTTCACTTAAAATTTTGAATTTTGTGAGGTATCGAATCATTCTAGTAGATAAAACTTTTTCAAAAACCTTTGCTACACTGGATATTATTGATATTGGTCTATAGTTGTTAACATCTGTTTTTGTTCCTGATTTATGTATCGGTATTATATTACCTTTTTTTAAAATTGAGGGATATATGCCAGATTCAAAGCATTTGTTGATTAGGTAAGTGAGTGGTTCTGTTATGTCCTCGGCTATAATTTTCAAATGCTCGCTTTTAATACCATCGAACCCAGGACTTTTCCGATTTTTTAAGGATATAACTGTGGTGTATACTTCATATTGTTTGACTTTATCCAAAATAAATGAGTTCAAAGTTCTTTTTGGAGGCTGAGTATTTTGTACATTTGCTTGTATATTACTTGCTAAATTTTCGCCTATGTCAGTAAAGAATTGTACAAATTCATCGCATATCTGTTGAGTATTTTTTAATACTGTTCCCGATGTTGTATTTAATTCAGTGACACACTCTTTAAATTTTGTTTTCCTAGTAATCTCATCAATAGTTGTCCAAAGCCGCTTAGGATCATTTAAGTTATTATTCAATTTATTTAGGTAATGTTTTCGTTTGGTTTGCCTTGATTCTTTAGATGATTTTAAACTAAGTTTGGTTACATTTTTCAACAACAAAATCGACTTGCGATTCACTAACATTCCTACGAACAAAAAATTACATCAGAAATATTTGAAAATGGACTTAGTCTTCGAATCACTCTATCGCCGTTTAAAGTTTCTCAAGATTAGGATTATCCTCCCATTAGCCTGCTGTCTGCTCCGGCTAAGCTCGCTGAAAAGGTGATTCTACGTTGCTTGAATTTCTCGTCAGATCACCATGAGATTCCTGACGTGCAATTTGGATTTCGTTTTGGGCATAGTACGGAGTTACAGGCGGTTAGGCTTATTGAGCGAGTAACCAGGGGCTTCACCCTCTTGTTTCTGGATGCCTCGAAGGTATTTGACAAGGTGTGGCACAAACGCCTTCTCTATAAGCTTATCCAAAAGGACTTTCCATTTTGGCTCCTAAAATTTTTGAAATCCTCCCTTGAAGGTAGTAAATTTTGGATCAAAATTAATGTCTGGTTCCCTGTACGGCCCATCAGAGCCGGTGTCCCTCAAGGTTCGTGTCTCAGACCAATCCTGTACTATCTTCACGCATGACGTCCCTTGCCCTAGCTGAAGACAATGGACTGGTGGCCCAGTCGCGTTCACGACAGATTACAGAGTGCGGTGGATGAGGTATTGGAATGGGCAAGTCGGCGCCTGATCAAAATTAATTATTCGAGAACTCAGGCTATCTATTGTACTAAAAAATGTAGCGGCGCCCCGCCTGAGGTTTCAGTGAATGGAACTCGCGTACCATGGGAAAATTCTGGTAAGTATTGCGATGTCACTCTTGACAAGAAGATCATCTGACAGAAGCACATTGAAGCGTGAAGTGTTTTCTCACCAAAACGCATATTCGTAGTCTGCAGGTTTTGCAGAACAGAATCTTGCGGTATGTCTCCAACGAGACCTCGACATCCCTTACCTAAGGGGCTACATCAAACAACAGGCGCAGTTATGTTATTAACTATCAGAATCGCACAGCAAACCTCTCTTGAGTGAGCCAGTAGACTACACAGTGGAGCAAGTTCGCAAGACCGCGGCTCACAGTGTACAAAATGAAATCTTGCAATTCTAGGTCCAACCAAAATTACAATCTTTCCCACATATACACAAATGCCTAAATTAATTATTGGATCAATTTAAAATTACCGAATACTTTTTAACAATACCAAGGTACCCCTTTAACTAACGAACTTCCTCCCTTTGCCCTTTCCGCTTCCTTTCTTTCACTCCGACTTCGTCTGGCATCTGGGCAACCAGACCTGCGATACTTTAACCAAGAGCACAGGTCACACGGACCGCTCTGACGGATAAAGACGAATAGAACAAAGCTGACAAAAATTGTAAGTGTCGCTACTACATTAAGTATAATCCGATAGTTCGATAATGCAGTACAAATGTTGCCCGTTTAGAAGAATCACTGAATAAATAAAATGTATGTATCTTTACATTAGGTGATTTTTCATCCTCAAGAATATTCCTTTGCAAAATCCCTTTATACATTTTTATGAAAATCTATAGATAGCCTGGTCCAGTACTTTCAGAGACTGGTGTAATTATGTAGTATTTAGAGCCTGAATTTTATGTCATGTTTTATGAAAAAGAAGGGGCACTAGAACAACGTACAAGTCGAGCATCCTACAAACAACCTTAATCACATCTACTACTAATTATGTCTGGATATAAGTAAAATGAGATTTTTATTGCTTGTTTTTAAAAAAATCTTTGTAATTATCAGGAAATGTTTTATTAGTTTTGAGCACACAGTTATCAAGAACACAAACACATTTACTGAATACAAAACAAACACCACACAACAAAAAGTCACTGCGCATTTGCCTAGAAGGCTTTGTCACAAACTTAATGTTTCTGCTAAACCTACATTTTAAAAACGTATCATACGATTGGATAGGAAAGGACAATTCCTTCCTGTGAGATATATAACTGTACTAGTAGAGTTTGCTAAAAATATTGTTGCACTATGACAATACATACATAATTCAAATATTTCAAACACTGTATCCGATTAGACTTTCATTACTAATCAGTACAACCTCAAAATAGAGATACCAGTGAATAAATGAATTTATTTTTTCCAGTATTCGTGTTCAATATACAGGGTGTCCCAGAAATAACACGCCAGAGTGAGACGGGAGGTAGATTGGCTTCAAATCAATCAGATAAAATCAACACGACCTTAGTAAAAGTTTTCTAGTTTCAAAAAATCTCTACTTATAGCTCCTTTTTTGCCTGTTGTGGCTATAAAGAACTTCTAACTTATGATTTTATTCCTGGGCTACAATAAATAGTTGGTTAAGACAACAGAGTATTCCTTTCATTGAAAACTAAAAAAGCTATAAAAAACTAATTTATTACATTTGGTTTCAATAATTACTAACCTTTACTAAAGTTTGACTAACTTGTCCAGACTGAATCAGCAAATGACCTTAAAAACTAGCTATTTAATGTTCTTTCAAAAATAGTATAACATTTGTAGGTTCTTTTTACTAAAAACTGAATAATTCCAAACTTTGTCATTTGAAGTCGTAATACTTGCGAAATACTACAAATAAAAAATAATATTTTTAAAAGAGTATTATTTAATACTAGCCTATTTAGGCTACCAACTTTTTAAGATTACTTGCCGAATAAGTCTGGTACATTTTTTTCACAGTAATTAGTCAAACTTTAGTAAAGGTTTTCACATTGAAACAAAATGTAATAATTTTTTAAGCATAGCTTTCAATGAAATGAACACTCTGTTGTCTCCAACTATTAATGGTAGCCCACGAAAAAATAATAAGTTAGAAGTTATGTATAGCCATAACAGGCAAAAAGTAAGAGATTTTTTGAAAAAACTTAAAAGCAGCAATATCTCGAAAACTAGAAAACTTTTACTAAGGTATGCTGATTTTATCTGATTGATCTGAAGCCAATCTACCTGCCGTGTCACTCTGGGGTGTTATTTCTGGGACATCATTATTTCAATATTATCCTTACTATAACTATTATCAAACAGAGGGATTAATTGTAAGAGTAGCCACTATGGCTAACCTTCGCCTCACTGCTGTCCTACAATACATAATGTATTTATCATGAACACATTCACTGCAGACAAAACAAATATTACATAAAAATACTGGTACAAAAACGATTATTTGCCTAAAAAACTTCCAACAAACATCACTAAACCTACATTTTAAAAACTCCAACTGCATCATAGGATTGGACTGAAAAATTCACAAGAATAGGATGATTCCTTCCTTTGAAATATATAAAGTCATCAGTTATAATTTGCTAAAAATCATGTTATATATATATAATATGTACTTATATCTTGGAACTTTAATTAGTAATAAAAACTGATAGTGAGTAATGTGTACGGGAAGATTTACCTTAAAAAATTAGCTTTTAATTCTGAAATTTTAAAATATTATTTTCATAATATATATAATGTGATGGCAACGTTGTTTTAACTGAATGCAATTAATGTATATTAATAATAATAATTCCAAATATCGTATGAACAGTGGTCCTTAAACGTTAATACAGTGTGGCGAAACTGTATTTCGCGAATCCAAAATACAGATATTTCAAACAATAAAGCTTTAATACTTGAAATTGTTGGCTGGCAGTGCCTAGCTTCATATGATTAAAAATGAAGTATAACTGTGGCCTTATTCTGTGTTGGTTACCTAAGATTGTTTTCCATATTTACAAATTTCTTGTTTGCATTTCGAACAATAAATGGATCATGACGGACCTATAGATGTAAGTTTTGTTGCAGAGTCATTGGGGAGCCTTAAATACTTTTCTTGAGATTTAAAGCGCCCCTTACAATTAAAAATATAATTATTGAACACTGTTATAAATGAGAGAAATCATCAATTCTCTTTCCCCTGATGCTTGTTACGTAACTGTAATCCAAACCATTGGAAAGTTAATATTGTCACAATCTTTTGGAGTTTAAGTAGGATCTCCATCATTGATAACTTCTTTCAGCTGAGATTTTTAGCAATAGTCTGATTCTGAAACTATATACCAACCCTCTTCATCACAGGCATTTGTATCTAGATTTTTGATTTTGGATAGGTCTGCAGTGTGAGAATCAGTATCACTATCTGTGTTTACTGTCTGGGTTGCGGCTTCCTTTTGTTCTACTGGTTGATTAAGACCTTCACTTTCAACTGTTTTAATATCCCTATTATCCAACAAATCCAATACATTTGATGGCATTCTTCTCTCACTATCACCATCTGTCGTCATGTTTACTGTCAGAGGTGTAATTCCTTTTTGCTGCACTGTTGGATTAAGATCTTTATTCTCAAGTGTTTTGAGATACATTTCATGCATTACATCCAGTATATTTGGTGGCAATGTATTCTTATCACCAGTTGTAGTTTTAGAAAGATTAGGTGACCATCTTCCACTATCACTAGCTGTGCTTGTGTTTACCGACTGAGATGTGACTTCTTTTTGTTCTGCTGGTTGATTAAGATCTTCGTTTTCAACTGTTTTAATATCCCTATTATCCAAGAAATTCAATACATTTGATGGCATTCTTCTCTCACTATCACCATCTGTCGTCATGTTTACTGTCAGAGGTGTAACTCCTTTCTGCTGGACTGTTGGATTAAGATCTTTATTCTCAAGTGTTTTGAGATACATTTCATGCATTACATCCAGTATATTTGGTGGCAATGTATTCTTATCACCAGTTGTAGTTTTAGAAAGATTAGGTGACCATCTTCCACTATCACTAGCTGTGCTTGTGTTTACCAACTGAGATGTGACTTCTTTTTGTTCTGGTGGTTGATTAAGATCTTCGTTTTCAACTGTTTTAATATCCCTATTATCCAAGAAATCCAATACATTTGATGGCATTCTTCTCTCACTATCACCATCTGTCGTCATGTTTACTGTCAGAGGTGTAACTCCTTTTTGCTGGACTGTTGGATTAAGATCTTTATTCTCAAGTGTTTTGAGATACATTTCATGCATTACATCCAGTATATTTGGTGGCAATGTATTCTTATCACCAGTTGTAGTTTTAGAAAGATTAGGTGACCATCTTCCACTATCACTAGCTGTGCTTGTGTTTACCGACTGAGATGTGACCTCTTTTTGTTCTGCTGGTTGATTAAGATCTTCATTTTCAACTGTTTTAATATCCCTATTATCCAAGACATTCAATACATTTGATGGCATTCTTCTCTCACTATCACCATCTGTCGTCATGTTTACTGTCAGAGGTGTAACTCCTTTTTGCTGGACTGTTGGATTAAGATCTTTATTCTCAAGTGTTTTGAGATACATTTCATGCATTACATCCAGTATATTTGGTGGCAATGTATTCTTATCACCAGTTGTAGTTTTAGAAAGATTAGGTGACCATCTTCCACTATCACTAGCTGTGCTTGTGTTTACCGACTGAGATGTGACTTCTTTTTGTTCTGCTGGTTGATTAAGATCTTCGTTTTCAACTGTTTTAATATCCCTATTATCCAAGAAATTCAATACATTTGATGGCATTCTTCTCTCACTATCACCATCTGTCGTCATGTTTACTGTCAGAGGTGTAACTCCTTTTTGCTGGACTGTTGGATTAAGATCTTTATTCTCAAGTGTTTTGAGATACATTTCATGCATTACATCCAGTATATTTGGTGGCAATGTATTCTTATCACCAGTTGTAGTTTTAGAAAGATTAGGTGACCATCTTCCACTATCACTAGCTGTGCTTGTGTTTACCGACTGAGATGTGACCTCTTTTTGTTCTGCTGGTTGATTAAGATCTTCGTTTTCAACTGTTTTAATATCCCTATTATCCAAAAAATCCAATACATTTGATGGCATTCTTCTCTCACTATCACCATCTGTCGTCATGTTTACTATCAGAGGTGTAACTCCTTTTTGCTGGACTGTTGGATTAAGATCTTTATTCTCAAGTGTTTTGAGATACATTTCATGCATTACATCCAGTATATTTGGTGGCAATGTATTCTTATCACCAGTTGTAGTTTTAGAAAGATTAGGTGACCATCTTCCACTATCACTAGGTGTGCTTGTGTTTACCGACTGAGATGAGACTTCTTTTTGTTCTGCTGGTTGATTAAGATCTTCATTTTCAACTGTTTTAATATCCCTATTATCCAAGAAATCCAATACATTTGGTGGCATTCTTCTCCCACTATCACCATTTGTCCTCATGTGTACTGTCAGAGGTGTAACTCCTTTTTGCTGGACTATTGGATTAAGATCTTTTTTCTCAAGTGTTTTGAGATACATTTCATACAATACATCCAGTATATTTGGTGGCAATGTATTCTTATCACCAGTTGTAGTTTTAGAAAGATTAGGTGACCATCTTCCACTAGTTGTGGTTGTGTTTACTGCTCGAGGTGTGACTCCTTTTTGTTCTACTAGTTGATTATGATCTTCATTTTCAACTGTTTCAATAGCCCTGTTATCCAAGTAATCCAGTACATTTGTTTCAGTCATTCTTATCTTCCTATCTTCCTTCATAATAAGCCTCTCGACTGTTCAATGCGACACTTTTTTCAATTCAATAGGAGCTTGAAGCTTAAAGCTGTGCTTAAATTCAACCACAGAACAGTGTTGCCAGGTAGATCAGACCAAAAATCGCTACCAGCCATCCGAAAAGTCGCTACTTTGTCGCTACAAAGGAATGTCTACTTATTTAATTGAGGTGCAATAAAACGGCCAATAAAACCAAATAAAACTGTATTTAAATTTGAAGTTTCAAAAAACCTAACGAAGTACATAAGTTATAAATAAAAAAAACTAAGCTAACCTATTCACTATCACTTAAATGAGAATCTTCTTCGACAGTTGTGCCTGTATTTTGATAAACATTGTTCATTTTTGACAAATTATTATCATTTATTTTATATGTTAAACAGCAACTCTTATCTTGTTTTAAATCCAATGTTACCCTTAAAATACAACAGAAAAGGTCAACACTTAATTTATTCAATATATCTTTAAATGATATTTCCCAAATTAATTGTGTTGGCAAAATAACTAGTTTTGCAGATGATACTGCAATATTATATGAAGGCACTGACTGGTCTGATCTGAAAAATGTAATTGAAAATGATTTTATCAAAATTATTCGGTGGTTTAACAGTAGAAAATTAAGCATTAACTACTCTAAAACACATTTTTTACCATTTGGATCTTATGCTAGACATCTGCCAAATTACACAAATTTCTCCTTCAATATTAATGATCAAAAAATGCAAATTAATAGAGTGCCCAACATAAAATACCTTGGAGTGGTCTTGGATCCTCACTTACGATGGGACATCCATGTCAATTATATTTTAAAGAAAGTTAGATTTGTATCCTATAAAATTAAATACCTTGGGAATATATTGACAGAAAAATATCTTCAAACATTATACCATGCACTGATTGAGCCTCATCTCACATTATGGTATATTAGCATGGGGAGCTGCATGTTCCTCACATGTCTATAATTTAGATGTTTTTCAAAAAAGTATTCTAAAAATGATATTTAAAAAAACGAAACTTTATCCCACTGAAAAATTATATGCAGATGTTCGAATGTACGATATAAGACAGCTTTATTTCTTACACAGTATCACTCACTACCATAAATTTGTAAACACCGACCAAAAAATTAAACATAATCAGTATACCAGATACAAAATTCGTGGCACAGTAGTTCCTCAACCGCATAAATCTATAATGCAGCGATCATATCTCTATTTAGCGACTAAATTTTATGAAATTATACCTAAAGACTTAAAAGATTTACGTTTCGGAAATTGTTTCAAAAGAAATTTAAAAAAGTGGCTACATTCTATATCTAGAACTGAAATTCATAAACTCATAAATACGAACATCAACTAAATACATAATCTACTGTAGCTAATTTTTGTCCTTTTTTGTCATTTGCATTCTACAGTTTCAACTTAAATTATTGGTCCATGTACAGGCGATGCCTTCTATTGGGCCTGTTTTGATTTTATATTTATTTACTCATATTGTTTGTTATCTTTGTACATTGAGTAAATAAATATTATTATTATTATTATTATATTTCTTTTTTTAGTTTTTATATCTGCCATATTTGAAAACGTTCTTTCGACATCAGCATTTCCATGCGGAATTATCAAAATACTGGTAAAATTTTTTCCAATATTTGCAAAAGCATATTGGTCGTTAATTCTTTCAGTTCACCCCAAAAAGCTACCGCTGATTTTTGTTTAAGCTGTTCTTTTTCTTCGAAAGAAAAATAATTTTGTATTTTAGTTAGTTCTGGAAACGCCAAATTACTATCAGCAACATGTTTAAAATTTTTTTAAAACAACTTTAATATGTATTGAATTTTCCGTGAAATTAAAATTCAAAACGTTATTGGGTTCTATAAAATCAAGATGTTCCATCCGCGTATCTTTAACAGGAAATCTTTTAGAGTCGGTAGCAGCTTTTTGGTAAAAACTCAAGCATTTCAACTTAAAATGTTGAACGTCACCTTTATCTAAATTTTTTAATATATGTATTATATGTCTCCAGGCTAAGCATAAGCTGAATTTCTCCTAATGGTAGTAAACAATGGGGATGGAAAAAATTTAATGTAAATAGGGATTCATCAACAAGAAGTTCCGCTTTAACAAAATTTCAACACAGTTGTCTGATAAACCTCTTACTTTCTTTGGTAATAATGGGGAATAAAGCTTTTTCATACTGAAAAAGACAGTTGAATGCATTAAATAGAGGTAAAATATAATTAAGAAATTCCAAGTATGCTTTTACAAAAGGGTTTAAAAATTCATTATAAATTCCACTTGCAGTCGGATTTTTATCTTCGATTAGTGCAACTTTAAATAATTCTGTTTGACGAGACCAAGAAGTTTCTGGGAAGTACCAGAGCACAGCTAATACGATTACGTGGTATCCTGGTAATCCCAGCTGAGCCGATAAAGCATACATGACAACCGGCATTCAGTAGCGCCTCGTCCTTAAACATAATTTGAATATAAATAAATGTATGTACTTATTACGATAATTTCAATTAATATCTAAATCGTTAAATAATTAAAAATAAATTTTCCTAATCTAAGTCGAAAAAGTCGCTACAAACAGGTTTGTTTTTGAAAACGTCTCAAAGTAATATTTTCGCGACAAGTCGCTACGAATGGATGGCAACACTGCCACAGAATAGGGAGTTATTGAACGTCGAATAAAGTCAAGCACTAATAATTCCTGGCCGGATTTGACATCCGAGCAGGCGCAGTAGAACAAAGATAAGACTTGGAATTTGAAATTAAAAAAGTTAGTGCCTGCCACTATTAAAGGACGTGGCTTTATATACCATATTTCACGAGTAACCATCACGCTTTGACGTCTACTGAGGTGAACAGCTGATCAGCAAGTGACATTTTTGTGTTATGCGGGTCCCACACGATGCTTCCAACGTTGAATACAACGTTCAACACCCCACAATTGTCAAGTGTGTCTCTTACACGATGGGATGAACTATTTAGTCTCGGACGTTCGACGCATAGTGGCGCCAAGGTCTATTATACAAAATGAACGATGAAACACTTTTTTGAGCGCCGAAAAATAATTGCAGATCTGTCTTCAGCAAGCAAAACTTCGATAAGTCAGAAGCCTCAGAAATGTCAAAAAACGAAGTTTGACAGTTTTTTTTTGTTTGTTTTTGGATGATAACTCCGCTGTCACTGTATTGATTTGCAAAAACTGCAGAGCTGTTTCGTCATTTTCATACTAATAACCTAGGGTCAAAATTTCATCAAAATCCTGATAGTATTTTCAGAGTTATCATTTATTTAATCTCGTTCGTTAGTTATGAAATGCAAGTCAATATATTTCTCAACTAGTCTTGCATTGTAACAGGACATTATAATGAAACAATTGTAAGTATTTGATAAATTATAATTTACTAAAATACATACATATCCTTAGGCCATCCATAACTCACCTGCGAAGCGTACAAAATATTAGCAATATGAAAAAAGTGTTGTTATGGTAGTCTATGCTTTGTATGTATGCTAGTTTAATTCATTCTCCTCAAAAGTTATTTTCCCACTTCCTTGGCTATTTCAAGCCATGCCTTTCCCTTACATAAATTAATGTTTCTATGGAAGCCATCTTGCGAACGAGGCGTTCCACGAGTTCTTTGTATTTCTGACAATAGAACACAAGAACGAGTGTTCACACTAACTGGCGCGGTTTAACTGCTGCTGTATCTTCGCGACTCTATAGAGATATCTATTAGTTACAAAGAATATGGAACGCAGAACTCGGAACGCTTTCCGACTGCGCGAGCCCTTGATAGGGATACGGCACGTCCTTATTTGAGCGAGAGTTGAATTTGAGCTATATGATAAGCCACAAAATATATTATACACTTAGTGATAAGCCACATAAGCCTTTATTTTTTAATCGGCAACTCTTCTCTGTCTCTGCTTCTGCCACTTGTCTTACCTTTTTGGTCATTGTCATCCTGTTACAAGACTCGCCAATACTTGAAAGTTAAAGGTCACTAAAATATTTGGGCATCGCCACTTAATATTCAGCATCTAGAGTGCAGCCAGGGAGGTGAAACGTCATGGGCGAACTGGCAACACCAAGGTCATCCTCTCCAGGCAAAATCGAGGAAACTGCATTACCGGCATCACGTGACGTGCTGCTTGCCGGGATTCTCTATCTTTATCCAAATGTAGAAATATCAAATATGGCGTTTGTCTCGATTAATGTTCAGATTATCAATGGTAATGCTTTCGGGGATATTTCATTGAAGATGATTATGAAATATCATCACTATCATAATATACGTGAGATGTATTGTATTGTGGGAAATGCAGACGTTCAAGAGACTTGTCATAAGTCACAGGTAGGCTGTAAACTTAACATATCGGCATGATATTGTTGGTAGATTATTTAAAATGCACTTCGGGATTTAGCCTCTTATAATAATTGTATTTGGCACCGTTATATAAAGTAGGAAAGTTTTTTTTTTATTAAATAAGACATGGTAATATCGGCAGGGAACTCATAAAGCTTTATAAAGCAAAATCCTGCCCATCTAGGCGAACAAATTAAAGGCATAGAACTGAGCAAACTAATTAAAAGTGACTCGCTTATTTACAAAAAAATGTGAAGGTAAAAATCAGTCGTGTTAATCACAATATCATGCAAGTTTTTAGGCCGTACGCTAAACTATAAATTAACGATGAATCAAATCAAGTCCTTCGATATATCGTATATCTATAGGTGATGATAATACAATGATTCCTATTTTTGACCCTACAGATTGAAGCTACACTAGCTGGAAGGGGCTTTTCGAAATTAAAAGTGATCGTATGACTTCTGAGATACAATTATGATCATCCGACTAGATACTGTCTTCAGAGGCAGAAAATTTCAAAGCATTAAAATCATCATCAGGTATCTATGATTTAACAAAAAAGTTTTCAAAAAATAGTATCAAGTAGTTTGATTCGGTACTTTCCACGCATTCACAGCATGCCT